TCTCCTTTGCTATTTCTTTTTAATTGTGTAATTTAAAAAAATGTTTTCTTTATTCATTTATGAAATTTCAGATCTAACAGGAAGGAAGGAAAGCTCAGGAGGATAGCTGTTCTGGATATTCATCATCTGGCATCCTCACAGCACTGTATTGAATTTTTAAAAACCATTTCAGTTAAGTAACTTTGGTGGTGGTGAAAAAATCTTTGGGAAGAGTGAAAGATCTAGGTGTACTGCGATTAAGTCACCTAATTTTTACTCTGGTGAAAGGAAGGGAGGAAAACAGCAGCAGGGCAAAAATGAAACGTAGCAATGTCTAGAATCCAGAGTGACAAAAAAGAGGGGTGTAATGAGGCACAAATGATTTTTCTGGGACTTATGACCTTAGGCAAGTTACTAACTGCCCTTTCAGTTTCTAATTAGGTGAAATATGATTGATAATAGCCCTTGCTGATAGGGTTAGCTACCTGATATTTTAAATTTGAATGTCACGTAGTGAATACTGTCAGCTATTAAAAGCAACAAAGAAACAGGAGATAGGGGGGATAGGACTGGGCTGTACTTCTTGGGTAATCATTTGTCAAGACCACATATACATATAATCTTTTGACATTTACTGGGCATAGTCACATCTCCATACTATGGTTCCCCTTTAGAGACCAGATAATCTGGGAAATGGCCTGATTTTTATCTTAATCATATGTGGTGCTATAAGTGAACCTTTAATACTCTTAGGATGCTCAGTAGTTTGAAAAGGAGCCCTAAATAGAATTTCTAAATAATTATTTCCAGATAGAATGTAAGAGAGCAGGTTTTTGTTACCAGTTTCGTGATAGGCTCTTTGATAAAGATTTCCTTTTATGCTAGGAAAACAACTCCATTTTCTAGAAAAAAATACTTAATGTTCATTTTATGTGTATGATATGTGTATCAGCCAATTTATTAACTAGGTGTTAGGCAGCCATGTTCTAGCTTAGGGAAGAAAAAAAAAAAAAAGCTGTGTTTGTGTGGAGCCCTTTGCTCCTATCCTTGCCCCTTTGCGTTCATCGGAGTTCATGTTGGATCAGTCATTGTGAAAGGCAGTTTCTTATTTATATATTGATTTAGTTCATACTGCAAATTTTAACCTCAAATGCACAGTTTTTCTACTTGGACTTAATTTAAGCCATTTGGATGGGATGTGACCATAGGAATGAAGTTTGTCTTTGAGTAGTCTACTCATGAGACTAGTGCAGATACATCCTTTTTTTTTCTTTTTGAGATCTCTGAAAGCTACTTAGGAGTGAGCTGAGATTGCAAACCAACCTCATTTTCAAAGGTAGAAAATTAAACCAGTTGATTTTTCTATGAGGCTTTCTGTTTCTAGTGCAAAATTTGGCACTCGCCAGTGAGTTTAAGTGCTCTAAACTTCTGGAGCTTGGCTCACAATGCAGAACTTAATAAAAGTAGTATTTATGAATGGAAGATGGTACCCCTTCAATGTTTGGATCATAAATGGATTTTTTCTTATGTAACTAATGACTAGGTTAAATAGATTTATAAGCTGGTTTAGAAAACCACTATTCAACAAGTTTTCGGAGTTGTTTAATGTTAAACCTTTAACCAAATTGAGGTTGCCATATAATGTGTTTTATGGTCACAGTTTGTATTGGTTGTGTGATTCAGAATAATTTCTTATTTCTAAGACTCAATTATTACAAGTGAATTGCAATGTATTTGATCTAGGTTAGTGTTTCTCAAACTTAAGCACACATTAGAATCAACCAGAGGGCTTGTTAAAACACAGATTGCTGGGTCCCAGCCCCCAGAGTTTCTGATTTAATAGGTCTGGGGTGGTGCCTGAGAATTTACATGTCATTTTTCTTTTTTAAAGATTTAATTTTGGTGGGGGAGTGCCTTGGGTGACTCTGTTGGTTAAACATCCGACCTTTGATTTCAGATCAGGTCATGATCTCATGGTTTGTGAGTTCGAATCCCACATCGGGCTCTGCGATGGCAGTGCAGAACCTGCTTGGGATTCTCTCTCTCTGCCTCTCATTCTCTCTCTCAAAAAAAAAAAAAAATTAATTTTGTAAAAGTAATTTCTACACCCAGCGTGGGCTCTAACTCAACAACCCCAAGATCGAAGTCGCATGCTCCACCAACTGAACCAGCGAGGTACCCTGAGAATTCACATTTCTAATAAGTTCCTAGCTGTTAATGATGTATTGCTGGTTTGGGGACCACACTTTGGAAATCACTGACTTGCAGACTAATACAGGGTCTCTGCTATGTAGAGTTAATTATGTGTAATAGTGAACAGAGGTGCCTTTAGTTCAAATTTCATGGTGATGAAAGTCTTTATACACCCAAGCAACCAGGAGATCCTGTATTATATGGACAAAGGAAAAAAAAACACCTAGTGCCTTTTAATGTAGAACACTTTTTTCATTGTCTTTGCAGTCTTATTAGTAAGTTTTGAGTTTCCTCAAATGAGAGCTGTTTATTAGGCACTTTGATCAGACTCAGCATCTTGCTTTTTTAAAGGTCGGGTAAGGACAAGGGGACGAGATATTTATAACAGTAATATAGCAAGTGTTAATGGCTATATAGAGGAACAAATGTAAAGCTGTAATGAAACTTTTATTATGGTTAGAAAAATGTTCATGAAAGACCTGTAGTTTCCATTCATTTGATTAACATTTTTTTTTATTGGACACTATAGCTGTATTAATTCATCTTACCAGATATAAGGAAGTGTGGTCTGCTTTTGAAAATCTTCTGTTAAAGACCCTTGAGATTTTTAAGTTATGTCATGATTTTTGAACATATTTCTTCTGTCACAGTGAACTGTCATTTCTTGTGGTGTTAGTGGCAGTCCTTCCTTTCAAAATTAGGGCTCTCGGGGTGCCTGGGTGGCTCAGTCGGTTAAATGTCCAACTTTGGCTCAGGTCATGATCTTGTAGTCTGTAGGTATGAGCCCTGCATTGGGCTCTGTGCTGACAGCTCAGAGCCTGGAGCCTGCTTCAGATTCTTTGTCTCCCTCTGTCCCTCCCCCGCTTGCGCATGCTCGCTCTCAAAAATAACATTAAAATTTTTTTTTTAAATTATGGCTCTTAAATTGTTATGAATTGATAAATTTGAAACCTGTTATAGCAATATAAAAATCAAAAGAAACAGATGTACGAGTTCTAATGAAATAGATCTTTGTTTTGGCTGCACAGAGTCCTTTTGCCTATTTTTTGGTGATGGTATTTCATGAAGATGTGTACTGTGAAATGGAGTTTTGCATAGCAGCTGCTTTCCCTTTCTTTTGATTTCTCTTTTACCCTTGTTCCAGTTACTCCTGTGTGATAAATTACTCCAAAACTTCATTTTATTATGCACACATTCTGCCTGTTAGGGATTCAGATAGGACACACAGTGGGGTTGGTGTCTCTGCGCTAATGATTCCTGGGGCCTCAGCTGGGAAGACTAATAATGCTTGTTTGCTTCATGTCTGGTGCTTGGGCTATGATTCTAACACTAGGATTGCTGACCCGAATTCTTAAATAAGACCTCTTCATGGCTTGGCCTCCTCATAGGATGGCAACCTCAGGGTTGTTGGACATCTTTTATTTATTTTTATTTTTTTAAATGTTTTATTTATTTTTTGAGAGAGAGAGAGGCAGAGCATGAGCAGGGGAGGGGCAGAGAGAGAGGGAGACACAGAATCCGAAGCAGGCTCCAGGCTCTGAGCTGTCAGCACAGAGCCCGATGCGGGGCTTGAACCCACAAACCGTGAGAAGGGTTATTGGACTTCTTAAATGATAGCTTGGGACTCCAAATGTTTTTAGTGACTAGCAAATAGGATAGAGATACATTGCTTTTATGACACAGCCTTGGAAGTTGTACAGGATCACTTCCACTGTACTCTGTTGGTTGAACCCCACTTAGTACAATGGCAGGGGAATTGGACTAGTTCTTAATGGTGCAGTGAACAGTATGTAGAGCTACAGATGTGGCCATTTTTGGAAAATGCAATCTGCTGTAGAGTTTGGGTTGGATAAATACTAAATTTGATATTGTGTAGAAAATTGGAGCTTTGCTTTTCTCTAAAGGTTATTTATTTTGCGAGAGAGAACGTGGGGGAGGGGTAGAGAGAGGGAGAGAATTCCAAGCAGGCTCCTCACTGTCAGCTTGGAGTCCAGTGTGTGGCTCAAACTCATGAACCATGAGATCATGACCTGAGCCAAAACCAAGAGCTGGACGCTTAACCAGCTGAGCCACGCAGGTGCCCTTGGAGCTTTTCTCCTTTAGGGTAGCTTGCCCAACTATAGGATAGTATATAGATTCATATTCAAAGATTATTATAGGTTAAAGTCTTGGCAGTATCCTAAAATCTGCCAACCTTAATAACTTTTTTATAGCATGAAATTATAATTTTTTTATTTTACAAACTGTTCATTGCAGAATATCTAAGTGTACAAAACAAAGCAAAAGGAAAAAAGTTCCACCTATAGTTCTACCACTCAGGTACATTCTTAACATTAAAAAAGCTTTTCATATATATTTTTACATATAAACCATCATGATTTAGGAATTCGATTTGACATCCATTTTGATTGGCATGTATGGTTTTAAATTTGTAAGCCATTAAATGATAGAGCTAAACTAGGTATGTAAAACTCTACCCTGTAAGGGATATATACTGCACTCAACTCTGTATTAATTTTAGATTTAGCAACAGTTTCTTTGAAGAATGTATGAAAAAGGAAGATAATAAATGCTAGGTATGAGCTAATAGCAGTTTTTCTTTTGCCTAGCAGTGAATTCAGAATTTTTACTGTACTAGCACTACATTTCAGGCCCTCTTTCCATTTGCATATCTTCTGTTATCTGTATATTTCTAAATAGAGGAATCCTGACTATAATAAAGTGCTATTATACCCTAAGTCATCATTAAAAGCAAATCTTGTTTGTTTTTTTCTTTAAAATAGCCTACCCTTTTAAAAAATGAATGAGTTGTCTTTATTCATCCTCAGAGAGTATTCTGAGACAGTTGAGCTTATCTTTTTTACTTGGAATTAGGCCTGTCAGATCAGTGTAGAAAAAACTTGCATTTTTCAACTGGTAGACTTGAATTTTATACCTCTTCAGCCGGAGGTTATTGTGTGAAATAGTCTACCTAAGCATAAAATTGGGTACTTGGATCAGCCTTTAATGTTTTAATGTTTATTTTGGTTTTATTTGCCTCTAGGATAACTAAGGAATTGTTAGGCTTTTAATTTAGGGTGGAATGGTTATGCAACTTGACTAATGGTTCTGGTGCAAAGAAAATGGATGATTTGACCTAAAACAACTTTTTAGTATTGTTTTTAAACTTGTTTCTTGACCCTGAATGCATTTTATCAGATTTTGTATTTCGTGGCTAATTTTATTATTACTAAGGGTGAGGAACAATATATGTTTATAATTTATTGTGATTATATTAATTTAAAAATTTGTCCCCTTTGGGGCGCCTGGGTGGCGCAGTCGGTTAAGCGTCCGACTTCAGCCAGGTCACGATCTCGCGGTCCGTGAGTTCGAGCCCCGCGTCGGGCTCTGGGCTGATGGCTCAGAGCCTGGAGCCTGTTTCCGATTCTGTGTCTCCCTCTCTCTCTGCCCCTCCCCCGTTCATGCTCTGTCTCTCCCTGTCCCAAAAATAAATAAACATTGAAAAAAAAAAAAATTTAAAAATTTGTCCCCTTTAATTTAGGTTTCTACTTATTCCTGCTCCTCTGAGTTTTAAAACAATAACTTGACTACTATCAAGAATTGTCAAGAATTTTTGACTATTGTATTACCTGAGTAATACTTTTCTTTGGGGTCTTATCTAATAGTAGCCTGGGAAACTGCCAACATTTTCATTTTAGTTGGGGGGAAAAAGATGACTTAAACCAGAGGTTAATTTTCTGTCCCACTGTCATATTTAATTCCATTTGTGAGAAAAGAAAGCAAAGCTGTTGAGTAATGCACTATCCATAGGTGATGTGATAGCTTGGAGTATCATGTTGTTCAAGAGAAATGGATGAGGCCTATCAAAGACAGTATGCACATGGGTTTTTTTCAGGGAAAATACACTCTTTTTATACCACTTAGTCACACGAAGTGAGGAAGTGAGGTGAGGCAGGGGGTGAGGAAGGGACAAGAATTTAACATTATAAAATGTCTGATATGCTTCTGTGTAAGTAGGATCATAACCAAATTGTGGCCTTCACCCATGTTGGTAGGAACCATTTGTGCAGGCCATCTGATGCATATCTCTTTTGAGAAACCTAAATAAGCAGTGTTGTATCATGTCATTGGCTTATACTGTGGAATTTGGTTATTATTCAGCAGGGGCTGGAGTGTCTGCATTCATATTTTAGCGCACTATTTATTAAACTAAGTTATTTTATGTACAAACTTAAACTGAAGTTAACTAAAAATTATCTTTAGGGCAAGATTTGAGACAAACTTAGAGGATTATATGGGTTTGTTATTTCAGCATGGTTAGGCTGGTATATACTTTAAAATGTGGGTCATAATTCTTTTTTTCTTTTTACATAGGGCAAGCTTGATGATTACCAGGAACGAATGAACAAAGGGGAAAGGCTTAATCAAGATCAGCTGGTAAAGATGCTACATTTTATTGAAGATTTTCTGCTCACTATTTTTAATAAGAAAATTAATTTTGTGGTTCTTTATGTTTCCAATAAAGTTGGGCTCTGTCTTTGTTATTTTAGGATGCCGTATCTAAGTACCAGGAAGTCACAAATAACTTGGAGTTTGCAAAAGAATTACAGAGGAGTTTCATGGCATTAAGTCAAGATGTAAGTAGAAGACTATATATGTTTATGAAATATTAAAAATAAGGAAGGCAAAAAATTTTATTTCTTTACGATTGATAAGCTCTTTGTAAGATGAGAGGATTGGGTCCAATTATATCTAAGATGCTTTCCAGTTCTGTAAAGTTTAAAGTAACACCTGAAAGATGCCTTTTTAAAATTTTTAAAAATAATTTATTGTCAAGTTAGCTAACATTCAGTGTATATACAGTGTAGTCTTGGCTTCAAGAGTAGATTCCCATGATTCATATGTACAACTAGTGCTCATCCCATCAAGTGCCCTCCTCAGTGGCCAACTCCCCACCCCCATCAACCCTCAGTTTCTTCTCTGTATTTAAGAGCCTCTTATGGTTTGCCTCTCTGTAACTTATTTTTCCTTCTCTTCCCCTATGGTCTATTAGTTTCTCAAATTCCACGTATGAATGAAAACATCTGTCTTTCTCTGACTTTTTTTTTTTTTTTTTTTTTTTTTTTTTTTTTAATTTTTTTTTTTTTTTTTCAACGTTTATTTATTTTTGGGACAGAGAGAGACAGAGCATGAATGAGGGAGGGGCAGAGAGAGAGGGAGACACAGAATCGGAAACAGGCTCCAGGCTCTGAGCCATCAGCCCAGAGCCGATGCGGGGCTCGAACTCACGGACCGCGAGATCGTGACCTGGCTGAAGTCGGACGCTTAACCGACTGCGCCACCCAGGCGCCCCTGACTTTTTTTTTTTAAACATTAAAAAAATTTTTTTAATGTTTGTTTATTTTTGAGAGAGAGAGTGTGAGTGGGGGAGGAGCAGAGAGAGGGAGACACAGAATCCAAAGCAGGCTGCAGGCCCAGGCTCTGAGCTGTCAGCATAGAGCCCAATGCGGGGTTGGAACTCACAAACCGTGAGATCATGACCTGAGCCGAAGTCCGACACTTAACTGACTGAGCCACCCAGGAGTCCCAGACTGACTTATATCACTTAGCATTATACCCTCCAGTTCCATCTACGTTAATTGCAAATGGCAAGATTTTATTCCTTTTCATCACTGATCCGTTCATCTTTACATCTTTATCTGTTCATCAGTTGATGGACATCTGGGCTCTGAAAGATGCCTTTTAAAAGGACTGAGTCTCAGATATGACAAATATATATATAGGAGATACCCTGAAGATCTCTAAAAAATTAGCTTGTATATACGTGTATATATAAATATAGCAGGCATTTATTTTCTGTGTATTCCTTTATACCTAATGATCATCTTATAATTATGTTAACTATCAGAAAATAGGTCTTTTTTTTTGGTAATCACTGTCTCCATTAGGGATCTTAAGGAATGTGGCAGAGTGGGATACATTGCTCTTGTATCAACTCGTGATCCAACAAAGTAAAGTGGTTTTGTGTTTTTCCCATACATCTTTTGATGTGATAGAAACCTTTGGGAACAGGACAAAAATGAAATACAGGCAAAGTCAAATAATTTGAAAGTTGAGATCAGAAAATTAATCTTCTGAATTAGTATTAGCTTATTTGGAGAAAGGCTAAAAGCACTGAAATACAAAACTGCCTCTGATTTGGTAAAATGAATAAACAAAACAATTTATTATGTGATGAGAGACATTGCAGTACAGAGATGAAAAGTTCTGATTCTGGAACCATACTGTCTGGTTTGAACCCTGATTCTGCCACTTATTAGTTGTAGGACTTTGAGTTACTTGTCTATTCCTATATCACTCAGGGTTTTCCAGACAAACAGAACCAGTAGTATCAAAAGAGAAGGGGGGAGAGGAGTGGGGCCGTCACACTGCTTCAGTTTTCTAATCTGTAAAATGGTGATAATAATGGTACCTCCCTCATCTCAGGGTTGTGAGCAATATTTGATGCATAATTAATATATTTCATGCACTTATTAAATTTGATTAAAGTTGTAAAATATTGATGGTATCCCTCAAAGTGGAATAAATGAAACTTAATTTATACCCAAGTTGGGAATTGATCCACTTAGGTCAGATGAATCCTGGCCAATTAATTTTCTGATTAAAAAAAAATTTATGGGTCATAGAAGTAGGATTGCTATACAATTTAATAATAGAATCAGTCTATTTCTAAAACTACTAACACTGTGTAAGTGAAAATACTTGTAGTCTCCTTTGCTTTTATGTTAACACTGGTATTTTCAGGAACTTTTCATTGGGTCTTTAACTTCATTGGCAGTCTTTTTATTGAACTCTGATCCTTTATCGCACTTTCCCACAATTGTTAAACACCTTTTTTGTTTTGTATTCAAGAATTCTTTAATCAAGCTCCAGCCTACCTTTTCTAGATTTCATATTTTCCTTACTTGAACTGCTCATTTTATTCAGAGTGGCATTCTTTATCTTACTTCTTTGGTTTTATTGACTTATTTCATATTCCTGCCTCTATTCCTATATTTCCTGCCTTTGGCTAGTGGCTGCTTCTCTGTCCTAAAATTGTACCCCTCACCCCCAGTAAGATTATGTTCCTTTCTCCTTGAAAGCTTTCTAGAGTGCCCTAGCTTGGATTTCATATCTCTGTTCATATGTACTGTTCACTTGCCACTTAACTGCTAAATATCATTTAATCTGCTGCCCTCTCTGCTGCCATCATAGATTTGTCTTATTGTAGACTTTATTGTTCTCCTATGTCTCTCTTCCCCCATTACTCCCTTTATTATACTTTTCTTTTTTTTTCTTTTTAATTTTTTTAAATGTTTATTTATTTTAGAGAGAGAGCGGGAGTGGGAGAGGGGCAGAGAGAGAGGGAGACACAGAATCTGAAGCAGGCTCCAGGCTCTGAGCTGTCAGCACAGAGCCCGACGCAGGGCTTGTACCCACAAACTCTGAGATCGTGACCTGAGCCGAAATCGGATGCCTAACCCACTGAGCCACCCAAGCGCCCCTTTATTATACATTTTGTATGTCTTTATTTTGGTTTTCTCTGTCTCAATTTATCCCAGTGAGGCTTGAGAAAGGGGAAGAAGGTGGGAAGGAAGACACTTTCATGGCTCTTGAAAAGATTGACCTTTCTTTAAAATTCTGACCATTCTTTGAGCCCAGTCTGACACTGGACATGAGAAGAGAGAGACGTACTTGAGTCTGGTTGATGTTCTCCCTTCAACCTTCACAGGAAAGTAAAAGACGAGTACTAGGAAAAGAGTAGTGGGAAAAATACATGTGTACTAAGCATTTATTTGTCTTCTGCCACCTTCTTTTTCTCTGCCAGCATCCCCTTATTCATAAAAACAAGTTAGTTTTAGTCACTATTTTCAAAATGTTGGGATAATATAATACTAGCAAGTGGGTTGTGAGGAAGCAGTGGTGGGTTTTAGCATCTCTTTTTAAGTTGATAGTAGGTACTTAAAATGAAAATTTTGGACCAGTTTTCCATAGAGGAGATGGATATAGGTAAGATTTTTTTTTATTTTGCTGTACTCGGGTTTCTTTTTTAATTGGCTCGGGTTCTTAATTAGAAATTTTAATTCTTATACTTTTTATTATGAAAAATTTCAAAACTAAAGAAAGGAATATAATGAATACCTCTGTACCCATACCCAGCTTCTACAGTTTTTATCTCATGGACAGTCCTGTTTGATATAGTCCCTTGTTCCCTGTCAGCTAGATTATTTTGAAGCAAATCCCAAATATATTGTTTTATTGGCAACATTTAGTGTTACAATGATACCTTATAGGGAAAGAAAGATGTGTTCTGAATTTCTAACATCTGCTTAAAACAGATGATGTTATTAGATACTAAACTCTATTTGTACGTTAGGAATCAGCATTTTGTGTATCAGGATCACATAACTCATCGAGTAAAATATGTCTTACATTGGAAATGAAATTGGTTGAACTAAATTGGGAGTTTTGTGAAATTCATTTTAATGTCTATGCTTAATATTTTTATGCAGATTCAGAAAACAATAAAGAAGACTGCACGTCGGGAGCAGCTTATGAGAGAAGAAGCAGAACAAAAACGTTTAAAAACTGTACTTGAGCTCCAGTATGTTTTGGACAAATTGGGGGATGATGAGGTGCGAACTGATCTGAAGCAAGGATTGAATGGAGTGCCAATATTGTCTGAAGAGGAATTGTCATTGTTGGATGAATTCTACAAATTAGCAGACCCTGAACGGGACATGAGCTTGAGGTATAGTGGTATTTGGTAGTAGAAACTTCTAAATGTTGGCTTGACAACTAAAAGGTGATTAATTAGCTTTTTAATTATTATTATAAGGTTGAATGAGCAGTATGAACATGCCTCCATTCACCTATGGGACTTGCTGGAAGGAAAGGAAAAATCTGTATGTGGAACAACCTGTGAGTATTACAGTTGTTGTAACTAAGAATATAATTTTGTAACTAAGAATCTTTAAAAGTTAGTTTTCTTTTTGACAGTAATGTTAATTGGAGAAATTTTTAGAATTGTGTAAGTAACATTCATCTACTGTTTACTTTTTGGTTTATTTCCTTTTTTTCCTTCCTGCTGTGTGTGTGTGTGTGTGTGTGTGTGTGTGTGTGTGTGTGTGTGTGTGTATGTGTAAGTAAAAAAAAACCCATCATGAATCAATAAATCTGTAGAGATGGGAATCCCCTGACTTATCACAATTTTGTTTGTAACTTACTCTCTGCTTGAGGTGGACAGATTAATACTGAATAGGCTTTCCAGAGTTCTTGGTATTAGATAGGGACTGGTTTTTCCTTATGGCTGAAATTTTGTGAAAAAATACTTACTCTATCTCATACATTTTACTCATGGTCATTGCCTTCATCTTTTCTTAGTTTTTCATAGACTTCTGGTAATTTGAGGACATTAATTCTTTTGTGCTTTTTAAAAACCTTAACCTCAAGTATGCAATGTTTATTGACTTTAAAGAAAACAAAGGACGACATTTAAGCTTCACTTCATTGGTAAATTAGGAATTTTAGGTTTATTCTCTTAGTAAATAATAGGTTCTTATCTTTGCTATTTATAAAGGTGGTTTAGGGAAGTAGATTTTTGAACATCTTAAGGTAAAAGTGCTTATACCTTATTTTTAGCTGTTTGGTGAAAAATTAAATCGGATTAAAAGCTTTAATTGGCAAAACTGTATGATGTAATTTGGATTGTATTTGCTTTAAGGAAATGGGTAAATCAAATACGAAGAAACAACTCTCTTATATCTTTTCATTTAAGAAATAATTTTCTTGAGGCACCTGGGTGGCTCAGTTGTTTAAATGTCTGACTCTTGATTTTGGCTCAGGTCATGGTCTCACAGTTCGTGAGATTGAGTCCTGTGTAGGGCTCTGTGCTGTGCAGAGCCTGCTTGGGATTCGCTTTCTCGCTCGCTCTCTGCCACTTCCCCCACTGTGCTTCTTTCTCCCCCAAAATAAATAAATAAACTTTTTTTTTTTTTAAGAATTTTTCAGGGCTCTGGGGTGGCTCAGTCAGTTGGGTATCTGATTTTGGCTTAGGTCATGATCTCATAGTTCGTGGGTTTGAACCCCATGTTGGGCTCTCTGCTGTCCGAGCAGAGCCCCCTTGGTATCCTCTGTCTTGCTCTCTCTCTGCCCCTCCCACACATGTATGCGTGTGTTCTGTCTCTCAAAAATAAACATTAAAAAAAAAAAATTAAAAATAAACTAAAAAAATTTTCTGTGTTGTTTGTTGTTTGTTGTTTTCTTTGTTTGTTGTTCTTTAGTGTATTTCTTTGTAAAGAAATCTTTGTGTCTTCTTAATTTTAGTTTTGCCACAAATAGGTACAGAAGTTTTATTAGGAAGAAATTTACATACGTGTATAAACTTGTTAGCTTAAAAAAGTAGTTTTAGGGGCGCCTGGGTGGCGCAGTCGGTTAAGCGTCCGACTTCAGCCAGGTCACGATTTCACGGTCCGTGAGTTCGAGCCCCGCGTCGGGCTCTGGGCTGATGGCTCAGAGCCTGGAGCCTGTTTCCAATTCTGTGTCTCCCTCTCTCTCTGCCCCTCCCCCGTTCATGCTCTGTCTCTCTCTGTCCCAAAAATAAATAAACGTTGAAAAAAAAAATTAAAAAAAAAAAAAAAAAGTAGTTTTAGTTCAAGCCTGATCAATTTTTCATGAACGTTATTGATGAGTAACAAGGGTTAAAGTATAAGTTTATATCTTGTTATGGTGTTTTCTGCCTAGTCTTGTTTACTTACCTTAGGAATGTAACATCTTTATAACTAATGAAAAGTTACTAATGTATTCAAGTTAGTATTTTTATGTGCATTCAGTTTTCAGATTTTTTTTAATGCTTATATATTTATTTTGAGAGAGAGAGGCAGAGAGAGAGAGGGAGAGAATCTCAAGCAGGCTCTGTGCTGTGAGCTCAGAGCTTGACGCCGGGGCTCGAACTCACAAACCATGAGATCATGACCTGAGCCTAAATCAGGAGTTGGTTGCTTAACCAAAAAACCAAGTTTTTTATTTTTTATTTTTTATTTTTTTAAAAATTTTTAACGTTTTTATTTTATTTTTGAGACAGAGAAAGAGCATGAACAGGGGAGGGTCAGAGAGAGAGGGAGACACAGAATCTGAAACAGGCTCCAGGCTCTGAGCTGTCAGCCCAGAGCCCGACGCGGGGCTCGAACTCACGGACCGTGAGATCATGACCTGAGCCGAAGTCGGACGCTTAACCAACTGAGCCACCCAGGCGCCCCTGCATAAGTTTTTTAAAATGCATAGTTTTGAGTCATGAGCCTCTGAAGTGGGGAAGAAAAAGTTGTTGGTAGTTTTATTGTTAATAGAGGTAATTTTATGATATTTTAATATAGTCCTGGGAAGTTTTATTTTTCTGTATAGTGACTGATTAGGGAATAGATACATTCTATGTACATAGGTATATTCTATGTTTTCAAGGCCAGGAAATTGAGATGATTCTTTGTTGTAGTTTTTGAGTGAGAGGGGGAGAGAATCTTAAGCAGGCTATTCATGCTCAGCGAAGAGTCCAAGGGCCAGGCTCAATCTCCTGACCTGAGCCAAATCAAGAGTCTGACGCTTAACTGACTGAGCCACCCAGGCAACCTGTGATGAATTCTTGACACACACCTTCACCTGCTGCTCTGCCCTCTCATATCTTAGTGTGTACCAAATTGTGACAGTTTTTTGCCTTTCAAATATCTTCTGAATCTGTCTCTCCTACGTTTCTCCCTTAGTGCATTCTCTTAACTGAATCCATCCTCCCCATCCCTCTTTAAAATTTTTTAATGGCTGTCTTTTAAATTAAATTTTATATACATTTGTCTTTAATTTAAAGACCTTGCATGTTCTGGCTCTTAATCAGTTTCTCCAGACTAGTCTGTATGCTTTTTCTTCCTCCCTATCCCTCCTCAGCTACAGTGCATGCTTTCATTTTCTTGTATTTGGTACCCCTTTTCTATATCCTTATCCTTTATACAGGGCTTTGTAAATGGTGTTGCTTCTGCCTTGAAACACTTCTTTCTACTACTCATCTTCTAGATCTCTGCTCTTGCAGCACTCACACACCAGGAAAGCTTCCTGTGCCTCTCTCTGATTAGGTTCAATCCATTGTACCTCTTTGTAGTACGTTTCACAGATGTGATTTCACTGCTTTTATATCTGATAACTTTTCTCTATTGGACTGTAAACTTAGGGAAACTTAGGGAGGGCAGATACTGTATCTTACATATTTTGTAGCCCCATTGCCTAGCACATTGCCTAACATATAGGTAGGTGCTAAATAAATAATGAATAAATGATAACTGTCAGCTTTTTTTTTCCTTGCAGTTACATAAAATATATAAAGTTTAGTACTAATAGATTATTCTTGTTCTCTATCATTCCATAATTTCTGTCCTTAGTGGACTTCAATGTTTTTTATATGTATGTTTCAGTAACCGTTGATAAGGTTTTTTTCTTACCACAGCATTTTGTAGCATATTGAATCTTACTCAGGTCAGGCATGCCCGATAGTCTAACATTATAATTCATGTTCTGTTTTTAGATAAAGCTCTAAAGGAAATTGTTGAGCGTGTTTTCCAGTCAAACTACTTTGACAGCACTCACAACCACCAGAATGGGCTATGTGAGGAAGAAGAGGCAGCCTCAGCACCTGCAGCTGAAGATCAGGTAGCTGAAGCTGGTGAGTACTTAGGTGGATATGAGCTGTAGTGTAGGAATCTTGGTTTTACTCTCCTTTGCCACAAGTTCAAGCTCTGCATTTATTTAGTTATGTATGCACACTGAGAGTTTTAAAGGAGCTTTAAGCATTTAAGCACAACAAAACATTAAAACAATGCATATTAAGAATAATTCCCAGAGGTCTTGAAGATCAATCATTTACTTACTGGTCTTGATCACTATTACAAACTGATAACTTTTTTTGTTGCAATATTGCTGGCCTGGAGTACAGATGAGGGGAAATGTTTTAGGACTTTTTAAGTACATTTTGGCTGACATACCTAGATTTATTGTTGTTTACCATGCCAGTATATGAAGTGAATAGTATGAAGGGTGTGTGTGTGTATGTTAAACGATGGGGAGATTATAACTCTCTAATCCTGAACCATAAATTTCTCAGTGGCAAGGGATCTTTTCAAATTAACTTTAGTACAACACTAATATGTAGGTAAGCACTTACCAGGAATACTTTTATAACTTAAGTTGATGAATAAAATTCTCAGTACCATTGGGAACATTGTCAGAGTATGAATTTTGAAATGGTTGAAAAGAATCAGACTGCCTGGATTGTAATCTTGGCTTTGACGCTCATTAGCTATGTAACTTTGGGCAAGTGACTGAATTTCTCTGTCTCTTTATCTCTGTTGAGAAAGCAGTACGTGAAAGTATATATATGGTGCCTCTCACATAGTAAGCACTTTACACAAGTGTTAGCTATTAGGTTGAAACTAGAAGGGAAGATTGCACATTGGTGGAATTTATGGTTGCAGATGGACATAGTAAGCCTCCTCTCCATCCCCCCAACCACTTTACCAAGTAGGTTAAAATAGTAAGATTTTAATCTGTATGTTGCTGTATGATAGTACTCTAAGAATAGAGAGGTTTTAACTTAGGTCTTTATTGGCATTATACCTAGTCCAGAATAACTACTCTTGAGCCTAATTTATTCTGTAATAAATGGTAAAGAAAACTCTTTCTAAATATTGTAAGAATGATAAAATACAGAAACTTAATGCTAACTATTGTAACTTTGTAAATAAATTCCGGCTGTTTGATGGTAAACTGTTAACTTATTTGGAGTTGAAATGAATTGCTAATAAAAAAAATACTTTCTTAACACTCATTTATGTCAATTTTTAACTACTTAGAACCTGAGCCAGCAGAAGAATACACGGAACAAAGTGAAGTTGAATCAACAGAGGTATGATTTTTTTTTTTAATGCTAGCTTTCCTTTTCTGCCTTTCAAACAATTCTCAAACATTTATTTTGCTTTGCAGTATGTAAATAGACAATTTATGGCAGAAACACAGTTCAGCAGTGGTGAAAAGGAGCAGGTAGATGAGTGGACAGTTGAAACAGTTGAGGTAAGAGTTCTCTCAGTTGCAAAGTTGGTATCTTTTGTTTTAATTAGTCATTTTTGTCTCTCCTAAGAACAGATTTAGTTTTTTGCATTATTAGTACATTTACTGTCATATTAAACTTAATACACATAACAGGATCATTATGTTTTAAAAAGTAATTTGTTTATCCCTGTGTATGTTTAATAGAATCTCTGCTGATCTAGCTACAGAAAATTTATATAAAGTTATCTGTGGAAGTGGGGAAAAAAAAGTTATCTAAGGTTATTAAAGTACATGATTTTCTATTGTCGATAGCAGGCTGCTGTTTAAAAATCTGGGCTCCCACATAGATAACCTCCAGAAAAGGCCCACCTTCCAAGGGATATATTGGAGTTTCCTCTTAGACTCCTCTTTCTCCCTAATGCGCTAGACTTCTGGTGTTTCCTAATTCTGTCCCTTAATTGACATTACCTTTTTTCAGGTCCTCATGTCTAGTTCAGAGGCTCTCTTCATATTTTTCTTTTCTAACTGCCACAGGCCATCCTATTCACTTTTACAGTCAATTATTAGAAAAGTTAGTTTTGATTAAGTTACTTTCACTTGAAACTCTTTGATGGTGCCGTGTTGCCTATAAGATAAAATCAAATGCCTTACCAAATTAGTCCCAACCATCCTTTCCATCCTCTTTTAGGTGACTTCTTTTATGTATTCATATATCTAAAGTACAGAAAAAATAATATGTCTTCTATCATTCTCCAAAGGTGCAATTGTAGTAGTACTTTTAGCTCTTATTGATGTGCCAAAACATACTACTGATAACCTGCCCCTGATCCCAGAAAGTTACCTAGTTTAGATGAAAACACTGTTCCATGAAACCCTACCAAGACAGTCTGTATTTGCTGAATTATGCAAGGCAGTTCAGAAATACTAGAGGAGGTTTAGAAGAAAATAAGATGTAAAAGATCTATGTAATGGTGGTGTGCGAACCTACTGGGCCTTGACTAAAAGTAGATTTGGTGTGTATTTTCAGGGAAGTCAGATAATAGGTATATATTAGCATGGATATGCAGGTAGAAATGAATTAGCATATTTGTTTTGTTGAACATTAAGAATGGAAAGTATGGGTTGGCATAGTAGGAAAAGACTGGGAAGTAACAGTGCTTTGTAGTTAAGTACTTTTTTGCATTTTATTGAGGGAGAAAAGTATATTATCACACTTAGCACCGTGCCAGTATGGTTTGTTTTTAAGTACTTGGCAGGTAGGGTCTTTTTAAAGGCTATCCATATGCGATTCTAAGGAATTTTTTGACCAGCCTGATGTAGATGACAGATCACTTGGTCTTTGTGATCAGTTTAGGTAATGATGATTATCTCACTATTGCTTATAAAAGAAAATAAGGTTATGACTTACTGAGGCTTACCAGGTATGAGTTGCCCAGGTTTAAAAGCCAGACAGAATGTAAATTTTGACTGATGTAATAAAAATTAGATTTCCTAGAAGAGCAGGGAATTAATAACAATAATAATCAGAAATTATTAGAGCTAGGAAAAAGGTAGATATAGTGAGTTTTGGCTTTTGTAGCAATTTAGATAAGGTGATAGGGCTTGATTCTTTGGTATTGGCAGAGAGGATGAAATGGTGGGAACTCAAAATTTGATGATAAATAGTAACTTTTCTTGAGTGCTGTTTATCAGGTACTGAGGTGGATATGTATTTGATAAATACAAATTTACTTACTATAGAAGGCAGAGCAGTTTAAGCACAATATGTTTTTTTGGAAGTAAGCATGGGTATTCCTTCCTTTGAAAGCGGTTTATAAAGTAAATCTGAAAAGTTACGTGGCAATCATGTGGAGTAGAGAACACTGTAGAAGTAATAGCACTGAATGTTAAATTTGGGATAATTGTCAGTTGGAGTAGCTATATTAAAGCTGACTATCTTGTTTATAATGTAGTTCCATATATAGTTCAGGGACCTGTTGTGATGGTCATGAATGGAGCTCTTTCATTCTACCAGTCTGCATCTCCCCCCACTTCTTCCACTTTAGGTGGTAAATTCACTCCAGCAGCAACCTCAAGCTGCATCTCCTTCAGTACCAGAGCCCCACTCTCTGACTCCAGTGGCTCAGGCAGATCCCCTTGTGAGAAGACAGCGAGTCCAGGATCTTATGGCGCAAATGCAGGGGCCCTATAATTTCATACAGGTAGGTGCAGTTCAGTCAGACACTAACTAACTGAAGGTTTAAGTGTTTACATTATTTAATTCCATTATATCCTAACTTGCAGGATTCAATGCTGGATTTTGAAAACCAGACACTTGATCCTGCCATTGTATCTGCACAGCCTATGAATCCAACACAAAACATGGATATGCCCCAGCTGGTTTGCCCTCCAGGTTAGTAATTGTACATTTTTGTGTGACAAATATAGGGCCAGTGCTTTCAGGTTTTGTAAAAAATGTGAAAATGAATTTTTCCCTTTTAACGTTTGCTTAACTTTTGGATTTTGTGTCTTTTAATTTGATAAGAAATGTTCTTTATTCCTATAATATGAATAATTGTGGTTCCGTTTTTTTAAACTTTTTATTGTCATATAGACTTAAGTACGTGCAAATGTAGAGTTTGAAGAGTTTTCACAAACTGAACACACCAGCACCTAGAACCGGAACATTACCTGTACTCCAGAAGCCTATTTGTGTGTACTTCCAGTCACTAGTTATCCTCTCTTCCAGCCCTGTGGGAACCATTTCCTGTAATTTAGATAAATGAAATTTTGCTTTGCTTTTTAAGTTTCAAAATTCATTTTAGCATAAAAATAATAGGGGTGTCCTTCTCTGAAGGATGCTTGCAGCTTTTTGGGAGAATTTCTGAACATTTTATTACTTAAATAAAAATGAGATGCAACGGTCTAAGTGGGAAAGAAGAGGATGCTTAAGAGGAAAGGAGAAGATGAGTCAAAAGACAGTTGAAGTTTCAAACTCTTAATAGTCTTACACCATTTTTAGAAGTAGTAGCACCAAATATAGTTGTTGGTGTCTTCTTTGGGTTAAGTGGACTGTCTTTCTCAAGGACCATTAGTAATTTTGAGTCTTGTTTTTTTTTCCCCAGAACATGGCATTAAGGGCACAAAAGTTGGAACTGTATAAAATATTTAATGTCTTCAGTTTCATAAAACGAGTTGCTGAGTAAAAGCATGTTTAATGACACAGTTAGTTTGGTAGGGTAGTTAGGATTTCTCTAAAGTAAAGGGTACTCCTATCTCTGTAACATCTCTACCAAGAGTTAGAAAACAGATTAGGGTTATGCCTTCTAGAAATAAAAGCAATTGTGAGAGTATACTAATAATGACTACCAGGGAACCAAAATGCTCACTTGAAAGCTAAAATCCTGCCTAATTCTTTTCATGATCACCAAAAAGTGTTTTTTAGGATTTGGCTATAGAAATTTTCTCTGAAGAAATTTGATTTTGGGTAACAGTGTTGCTTTTGGTCAATTTTGCAGTTCATTCTGAATCTAGACTTGCTCAGCCTAATCAAGTTCCTGTACAACCAGAAGCTACACAGGTAGGAATGATAGAAATATTGTTGCATATTTGTTTTTAATCTGTTCTTGGGTCTCTTTCTTTAATTAGCGTAATGAAAGTCAGGTATCAATTTTATCATTGTACAAGTCTGGTGAGGGTAGCTGTCTACTTTTATATCCATGTTTATGTTTACTTTGGTATTAATAATTTAAAAATAATTTTTTTGGGTAAATGTTATGTTTATGATAGTAAGGAATATGCTTTTTTATTTTAAACAGTAAAATTTGAGAAGACACATTTTAAATTTCATAATTCTAAAATTTAGTGTAAATGTTGCCATTCAGAAGCATTTGTGGGGGACTTCATAACTGGATTGGGTTTATTTAATGTTCATCTTTAATATTATATGTATTTTTTGCAGTTGTTAGATTTTGTAGTCTATTTAACAGGTATATCTGTCTACTTCTTAGCCCTGTCTGTATTAGAGTTGGTTTATAACAGAAAGCAGCTTTGATTGCTTTATTTCTGTGTAGGTTCCTTTGGTTTCATCCACAAGTGAGGGGTATACAGCATCTCAACCCTTGTACCAGCCTTCTCATGCTACAGAGCAACGACCACAAAAGGAACCAATTGACCAGATTCAGGCAAGTTTCTGTTACTAGGTAACATAAACTTGATAGGCACTTATTATGAATTGGGCAGAGGTAAATTATTAATGTTGTGACTCTTTTTGGACCTAATGCATGCGATACGTTATTTTGCTGTGATGCAATACAAGTATTTTGCTGTTATGAAATAGTTGAATTTTTTTTTTAAGTTTATTTATTTTGAGAGAGAGAGAAAGAGAACATGAATGGGGGAGGGGAAGAGAGAGAGGGAGTGAGAATCCCAGGCATGCTCCATGCTGTCAGTGCAGACCCCTGTGTGGGGCTCGACTCAGGAACTGTGAGATCATTACTTGAGCTGAAATCAAGAGTTGGATGCTTAACCGACTGAGCCACCCAGGCGCCCCAGTTGAATTTCTTAACATACTAAGACTTGGATAGTAGACTTGGCTAAATTTAGTTTATCACTAAAGTGCATCTGTTTACTTTGTGTTTAGGCAACAATCTCTTTAAATACAGACCAGACTACAGCATCGTCATCCCTTCCGGCTGCTTCTCAGCCTCAGGTGTTCCAGGCTGGGACAAGCAAACCGTTACATAGCAGTGGAATCAATGTAAACGCAGCTCCATTCCAATCCATGCAAACGGTAAGTAAATTAAACTAACATTAAATGGCTAGTGTGTACTATCATCATGCCAAAGTCTCAACAGAAAAGTCTTCATTTAACTTTGTGCTTGAGTGTGCATCTACCCAACTATAGAGTATATTTAATTGATAAACTCTGATTTTTCCTGCTCCCAGAGATAAATTTGAGTTTTAGGAGTTATGTGCTCTCATATCTGTTTTGTAGTTTCATCCTTTAGATTTGGTTAACAAAAGTAAACATGCAGAAAAGTAGACTACTGTATCTGTGTATGTAAGTCATTACCGAGATTTAACAACTGTCTACATTTTCCCATACTTGCTTAATCTTTTATTTTACTGAAGTTTCTCATAATAAATTTCACCTGTTATACTTCATCGTGGTTTTTCAGTAAGCATCCCTAAATTGCAGAATTTCTAGGAAAGGATGAGAATATTGTAATTGATGGGATACAGTTAAATCAGTGCTCATGGGAAAGTTTATAGGATTAAATACTTAAAATATTAACTTTTGGTTAAAATGTCAATAAGAAAATTTAAATGAATAAAATATTCATAGAATTAATTTCTGTAAGTGACATTGTATCAGTGGTTTGCATCTCTTAAAAAAGATTTCTTATTTATAGTAACATTTCCAAGACTGCTGATTTTTGTATTTTTAAATTTTGAAACCCAGTTATGCTCTCCTTGAAGTGCTATATGGTGTGTGTGTGTATATATATGTATAAATATAAATAAATATTTATATGGGGGGAATATACGTGTGTGTTTGAGACTTCTGTAATGTATTTACATTTTTCAGTAAAACCAATATTGAGGTCTGTCATCTTAAAAGTAGGGAAATTGTTAGCAATAAGGGGATGAAGTAATCATTTACTTTATTTACTTACAGGTGTTCAATATGAATGCCCCAGTTCCTCCTGTTAATGAACCAGAAACTTTGAAACAGCAAAATCAGTACCAGGCCAGTTACAACCAGAGCTTTTCTAGTCAGCCTCACCAAGTAGAACAGACAGACCTGCAGCAAGAACAGCTTCAAACAGGTAGGAAAACCAGTGTCCCTTCCTTGGCTGCTTGCTTTCCAACACCATTACTGACAGTGTTAGGAGGGTTTACACTTTAAAGTGGCAGTGTCCACAAGTTTTTGTTCTAGTAGTAGACTTTATGGAATTTTTGTTGCAGATCCTGAATTAAATCAAGTCCATATTTATCGTATGTGAATTATGTGCACTTTTTGGGAGGCCTTATACCCATTTTCCTTTGGTCAGTAAGCTTTCATAATATCTCTGTTTCATTCTGTGATTTTAGTGGAACTTGTTAGATTATGATCTACTTTACTTTTAATTGCTAATTAATTAAAGCCGGCTAGCATGATACCTGGTAGGTAGTTAAGTCAGTTATACAAAGTTAAGCAGTAAGGAGTTGTCAGTGTGCTAATTATAATCAGTAAAACATGCAGAAATCTCTTGGTGGCTGCATTTGGTAGAACTAGGTTGAAATAAAATCCTTTTTGGCAAGTAGGGTCATACGTAAGTTGGCTAGTTACCATACCTGTCATAACAATGTAGATAGAGATATCTTAGATTTCTTAACTTTGTAAGGCATTAGAAATACCTGCTTAGGTCTTTGGTTATTTAGATCCTCGGTTGTTTAATTGGAATATCCCACAACAAACTAGCAAACCTTGCTAAAATCATAGGAGTTAATAGTTTAATTTTATCAGACTGATTGAAATAACTATGAAATATTCTAATCGTCTAATTTCTTGATAGACTTTGATGAACATTATGGATTTTTTCAGTACTAAATTCTTACATATCTCTGTAGTATTTAGCACTCACTAATTAGTAGGAAGTTTGAATCAGCTGTAATCTGATGGCTATTTATCCATTAGGCTATCTATGTTCAGCTTCTGAATGATAAAGCTGGGCTTTGTGCTCAGGCTCCTTTAATTATTGCCATGTACTCATAAGCATATCAGCACAATGGGCCCCCAGTACACCTGCTCTACAGCAAATTGTAGTATCGAGTTAGGAACAACATGAAAAAAGGATACGGCAAGAATCTGGCTATTTATGGACTTAAGAGTTTATGCTGTACAAACACTTCAATAGAAATTCTGGGGTTTTTGTTGTTTTTTAAGTAATTCTGGTATTTTAAAATAAAGACCACACTTTAATTGTATGAGTTTTATTTATTGCTATGAGTTTCCTTGCAGTGAAATTTGGCCAAGACTAATAAAATTCTTATTGATAAAAAGTGAGGTGAAAATTCACTTCTTTTGCCACTGTCTACATGCATATGAATGACTCTCTTTAGATAGAAAATGTCACCTGTAATCATGATATTTACCTGTAATTTTAAATTTAGGGAATGTAGGGAAAGGCAGTCTGTGTAGAAAGACCACAGTGAATAGTGTAATTAGTCCATTAATTGCACAGTTCAAAAAGGAGCCATAACATCCCTTCCATTAGGCACACTTTAGCTTTTTCGTTGCAAAATAGTATTTTAAGAACCGATAAATGTATTTGGGGTTTCCTGAGGCCACAAAATATATCTGGTCAAGTTTTTCAAGAGGTACACCACCTTTTCTCTCTGTCTAAACATGGGGGATTTGGGCTGGCTGTTTTTTGTAATTGGGGCGTGGGCCTTCCTCTAGTCTATACCTTCCTCACCTCCCAAAGGTAGTGTTAGTATCCTGTCTTTTCTCCCCTGTGCATTGCGAACATTGGTTAATACCCAAAAGGTACCTCTGAGCTTAATTTTTAAAGATTTCTAGATTCTAGACTTCCCATTGTGGAAGGAGGGGGGTGTGCAAGGTAGTGTGAACCTTCTAGAATCTTTTCTTTACCTCATCAAGTTGAGTGCCAGTGTGAGTACTATTTAACTGTCTTCTTAATTGGTTGTACGTTAAAAGTACTTGAAATGGAATCAGGCATTAAAGGAGGTGTAAGTTGAAGACTTCTGCTAATTTACCTTCATAATTGACTGAGTATTCTACCATATGGTTGTTTAGCTATAGGAGAGCATGGTTTTGTAGGTTTCATTAACGTGTCAAGGGAAATTTAAAAGAATAAGAAAGCTTCTACCACTAAGGAGTTTTATAGTGGAAAAATCATTAAATGATACACAGTGGTAATTGTACTGTTTTAGTATGTAATTGTACTGTTTTAGTATGTAAGATCTTTTGAATTATTGTGGGTCTCGTGCTAATAGGCAGATGCCTCTCAGAAGATGTTTAATAGTATAGGTTTTCATTCCATTTGGAAGGGATAGAGTTTTGTGCTCTCACACATTGTGTGCTTCCAAAAGTTTGGAACTGTTGTTGGAGAATTGCTTAATATATGGGCAGGAGAAAAATAGGGACTTATGTGTAGGTTTCCTTATTGGAAATATTAAAATTTATTTAAAGATGATTTGAGGAGAAGGTATAAGACACTTCTTAACCCAGAAAACGTGAAAGGACAAATTGTAATGAGCTGTGTGTGTGTGTGTATAAATTTTTTCTTTTTATCATAGTGGTTGGCACTTACCATGGTTCCCAGGACCAGCCCCATCAAGTGACTGGTAACCACCAGCAGCCTCCCCAGCAGAACACTGGATTTCCTCGTAGCAGTCAGCCCTATTACAATAGTCGTGGTGTGTCTCGTGGTGGCTCCCGTGGTGCTAGAGGCTTAATGAATGGATACAGGGGCCCTGCCAATGGATTCAGAGGTAAAGAAAAAAAAAAGTAGCAAGTTCTTGTTCCTTTTTGATTTGTAAAATAGAAATATGTCATGACGTTTTTGGGAAAGATATGTATGTCTCTCTGTGTTAATCTCTCATGTATAGCTTAAACATTTTAAACATTTTTAGTATATTATAGGTTATTTAAGTTGACAAAATTGGTAATGGGTTTTTTTGTATGTGTCAAATCCATGTTTTCCATGTCTCTGAGGGGATAATTGCTTTCCATTATCAGAGTTTATGGGGATTTTTTTTGTATGTGGGGTATGTGAGCATGGATGGGTGAAAATGTCCTCTTCTAAGGAAATTAATACTCAGAAATTTAGGAACAGATTGGATCAGGATGGGGAATTAGAAATTAATTTGAATTACTGGCATGGCTTATAATTTTTCAGTTCTTCCCTTGGTCAGTAGTAAGAAAGTAAAAATTTCTCATTTAGATAAGAAAATTATTTTCTTGTCCTAAATTTTAGGAGGATATGATGGTTACCGCCCTTCATTCTCTAACACTCCAAACAGTGGTTACACACAGTCTCAGTTCAGTGCTCCCCGGGACTACTCTGGCTATCAACGGGTAGGTAGAAGTTGCTTTAAAATATAAACCTGACCTAAATAAGCCAATGAAACAGACTGATGGGGTTGTTTGGACTTGGGTAACTAAGTAATTTGAGGCTAATTTTGCACATTTTTACAAGATACTTTATTATGGAGAATGGTGACTTTTGCTTTCCCTAGCACTCTAGTATAGGTACTCATTTTTTAGAGTCTGTTAAAAAGAGAATGATTTCATGCCCTATTGGTGGGAATGCAGATTGGTGCAGCCACTATGAAAAACAGTATGGAGGCTTCTTAAAAAATTAAAAACCATATTACCATATGATCTAATAATTCCACTGGGTATTTAGCCCAAGAAAATGAAAACCCTAACTCGAAAAGATACACGCACCCCTCTGTTTATTGCAGCATTATTTCTAATAACCAAGATGTGGAAGCAACCCAAGTGTCCCATCAATAGATGGGTAAAGAAGATGTATATATACACAATGGAATATCACTCAGCTACAAAAAAAGAATGAAATCTTGCTATTTGCAACAACATGGATGGACCTAGAGGGTATAATGCTAAATGAAAAAAGTCAGAGAAAGACAAATGCCATATGATTTCACTCATGTGGAATTTAAGAAACAAAAAGACAAAAGACGAGACTCTCTATAAATAGAGAACAAATTTGGTAGTTGCTGGAGGGGATGTAGATAGGGGGGATGGGTGAAACAGATAAAAGAGATTAAGAGTACACTTACCTTGAGCACTGAGAAATGTATATAATTGTTGAATCATTATATTGTACACCTAAAACTAATGTAATACTGTATGTTAATTACACTTAAAATAAATTTGTGTCGGAGAAAAAAAAGAATGATTTTTAAGAGCAGAGATATTTCATTGAATGTTCTTGAGAGTAACAGAAGTAAATTACGGAATAACTTCTGGCTATTATATATTGAAATGTCTAAAAAGAATAAGGACAAATTTTGTGTTCTGTGTGAGACACTAAGAATAGATAGATGAGAAAGCATTAAAAAAAAAGTACGTTTTCTTCAGTACTAACTAGCTTGTCTTTTAGGATGGATATCAGCAGAATTTCAAGCGAGGCTCTGGGCAGAGTGGACCACGGGGAGCCCCACGAGGTAATATTTTGTGGTGGTGATCCTAGCTCCTAAGTGGAGCTTCTGTTCTGGCCTTGGAAGAGCTGTTCCATAGTCTGCATGTAGGTTACATGTTAGGAATACATTTATCATTACCAGACTTGTTGCTAGGGATTAAATGAAATGCTCTGTTTCTAAAACTTACCTTGAACCCAAATTTAATTTTTTGAATGACTTTCCCTGTTACTATATAAATTGTCTTGAAAACTAGAACATTTCTCCTCCTTAGAAAAAGTGTTTTTCCAACTGCAAATTATTTTTCAGGTCCTAAAACCTGCTAAATGTTTTTAGGAAGTACTTACTGAAACATTTTTGTAAGACATTTTTGGAATGAGATTGAACATTTATATAAATTTATTATTCCTCTTTCATTTTTGAACATGCATATTATATTTTAGAGTCAGAAACACTTTAATGGCCAGATAAGCCATAGTTACATTTAGAGAACCATTTAGAAATGATAGAACTAATTGAAATTTCAATGCCTTTGGATCACTAATAGCGATATAAATGTCAAATTATTTCTGACTTTTAAGTAAAACATACAAAATCCTAACTAACTTACTGAACTATATTTAAAAATTGTAGGTTTAAAGAGTGTCTGATTTTGTCTATTACCATAGGAAACCTGCTTCCTCATTTGGGCAGAAAGTCAACCTGTGTAACAATTAGAGGTAGCATTTCATATGATCTGAAGTTCTAAATGGTTCTCTGATTTAAGGGAAGTTAAACTGAATAGGTTTCCTCTAGGTTTGGGCCATCACATGTATAAAATGTATATTAAGGAGGAATTACAAAGTACTTTGATTTCAATGCTAGTAGAAACTGGCCAGCAAAAAGGTGCATTTTTAAATTAATGGATCACTTGGGAATTATTGACTTGAAGTATCAAAGGATATTTGCATGTGAATGTGGGTTATGTTCTTTCTCACCTTGTAGCATATTCTATGAAAGTTGAGTTGACTGGTAGCTAAAAATCTGTTTTAACAGCATGTAAAAAGTTATTTTATCTGTTACAAGTCATTATACAATTTTGAATGTTATGTAGTTTCTTTTTAACAGTTTAGGTAACAAGGTCTGTTTTTCATTCTGGTGCTTTTATTAATTTTGATAGTATGATGTTACTTACTACTGAAATGTAAGCTAGAGTGTACACTAGAATGTAAGCTCCATGAGAGCAGGTACCTTGTCTGTCTTCACTGCTGTATCTATTTCCAACGCCTGATGACAGTGCCTGGCACACAGTAGGCACTCAATAAATACTTGTTGAATGAATGAATGAATGAGTACTGGTGGAATACTCCATTAGCTCTACTCTTCTTTTAGCTAGAGAACATGAGCAAATTTGCGCATGACAACTTCCAGGACAGGTGAACACTGAAGAATTGACCTCTTAAACCTAATAATGTGGTGACAAGCTGCCCACATGCTTCTTGACTTCAGATGAAAAATCTGCTTGAAGGCAAAACAAATAATATTTGAAAGAAAAACCAAATGCCATTTTTGTCTTCTAGGTCGTGGAGGGCCCCCAAGACCCAACAGAGGGATGCCGCAAATGAACACTCAGCAAGTGAATTAATCTGATTCACAGGATTATGTTTAAACGCCAAAAACACACTGGCCAGTGTACCATAATATGTTACCAGAAGAGTTATTATCTATTTGTTCTCCCTTTCAGGAAACTTATTGTAAAGGGACTGTTTTCATCCCATAAAGACAGGACTATAATTGTCAGCTTTATATTACCTGGATATGGAAGGAAACTATTTTTATTCTGCATGTTCTGTCCTAAGCGTCATCTTGAGCCTTGCACATGATACTCAGATTCCTCACCCTTGCTTAGGAGTAAAACATAATACACTTTACGGGGTGATATCTCCATAGTTATTTGAAGTGGCTTGGAAAGAGCAAGATTGACTTTTGACATTGGATCAAATCTACAAGTGAGCCCTAGAGTTATTCAATGGTAATTGACAAAACTAAAATATTTCCCTTGAAGAAGGAAGGAGTGGAGTGTGGTTTGGCAGAACAACTGCATTTCACAGCTTTTCCAGTTAAATTGGAGCACTGAACGTTAAGATGCATACCAAATTATGCATGGGCCCTTAATATAAGGCTGGCTACCAGCTTTGACACAGCACTCTTCATCCTTGGCCAAACGACTGGTTACAAACACATGTAAATTGCTTTTTAACAGCTGATACTGTATAAGACAAAGCCAAAATGCAAAATTAGGCTTTGATTGGCACTTTTTGAAAAATATGCAACAAATATGGGATGTAATCTGGATGGCCGCTTCTGTACTAAATGTGAAGTATTTAGATACCTTTTTGAACACTTAACATTTTCTTCGACAATGACTTTTATAAGGATTGGTACTATATATCATTCCTTATAACATACATTGTCTGTCACTAATCCTCGGATCTTGCTGTATTGTCACCTAAATTGGTACAGGTACTGATGAAAATATCTAATGGATAATCATAACACTCTTGGTCACATGTTTTTCCTGCAGCCTGAAGGTTTTTAAAAGAAAAAGATATGAAATGCCTGCTGCTACCACCCTTTTAAATTGCTATCTTTTGAAAAGCACCAGTATGTGTTTTAGATTGATTTCCCTATTTTAGGGAGATGACAGACAGTAGTTTCAGTTCTGATGGTATAAGCAAAACAAATAAAACATGTTTATAAAAGTTGTATCTTGAAACACTGGTGTTCAACAGCTAGCAGCTTATGTGGTTCACCCCATGCATTGTTAGTGTTTCAAATTTTATGGTTATCTCCAGCAGCTATTTCTGTAGTACTTGCATTTATCTTTTGTCTAACCCTAATTGGATTCTATCTTTTTCTCATGGAGGCATTTATATTCAAAGTGGCGATTCCTTCACTTAGATGCATAGGGAGAGTCACAAGTTTGATGGAGATGACAGTTTAGTAATTTATGTACTGTTGGAATTTGTGCTAGCAGTTTGAGCACTAGTTTTGTGTGCCTATGAACTTAATGCTGCTTGTCATATCCCACTTTGACTTCATGGAGAATTAATCCCATCTTTTCAGCAAAGGCTACTAATACTAAGTTAATGGTATTTTCTGTGCAGAAATTGAATTTTGTTTTATTAGCCTTTAGCTAAGGAATTTTTCCAGTAGGTGCTCAGCCACTGAAGAAAAACAAAAACAAAACAAAAGAACGATTCTCAAACATTCATTGTTAGACAACTGGAGTTTTTGCTGGTTTTGTAACCTAAAATGGATAGGCTGTTGAACATTCCACATTCAAAAGTTTTTTTGTAGGGTGGTGGGGAATGGGGGGGTATCTCCAATGTTTATTTTAAAATAAAATAAGTTCCTGACTTTTCTCATGTGTGGTTGTGGTACATCATATTGCAAGGGTTATACGTTTACTTTTACAAATGAGTATTTCTTTGGCTAGCACCTCCCGTTGTGTGCTTTAAATGACATCTGCCTGGGATGTACCACAACCATATGTTAGTTGTATTTCACGGGGAATAGATAAAATATTCATGGTTTACTGGGTAACCCCTAGATGTGTATGCTTACAGTCCTTCTATATACAAAACTAAATTTGCTATCTGTGTAGAAAATAATTTCATGACATTTAAAATTGAAGTAAATAAGTGATTCTTCATACAGTGATCTCTATGAATCAGTTCAGAGATGGGATGGGGGAGAAATGCTTTCTAGGTTTCAAACTTCTATGCATTAGTGTAGATGTTGTGAATGTGTAAAGGTGTTAGTAGTTTCATTATTTCTGTGTATGTTTTTAAAAGAGTCGTTCTTTTTGAAATAGTATAATTTTTTTTTTGGCATTCTATCACAGTCTAAATGTAAAGCTTTTATGTCTCAATTCAGACTATATTTTTTAAAGGACGTGCCTTGTTATGAGGCAGAGAACTTTTTAAAAAGTCCCGTTAAGATCTGAGTCTTGGTACTAAGTGTTCTGTATAATATGTGAATACTTGTCCTACCTGCAGAAGACCTTTTGTTTGGTCAAATGCATATTTTAGCAGAGTTGCAAGGAAATGACTGTCACGTGTGTCACTGTAGCTTCTTGGTATAGTAAGACTCCACATATAAAGTACTTTTGTAAATGCACAATATCAATCATCTCATGTGGATAATGAGACTTCTATTTTAGAGCTTTAAGGTAGAATGTCATTGATGACCTTGGTTAGAGCAGTTCTATTTCTAGATCTTAATATCCCTACTGAATATGGAAGAGTTTTGCAATCACTGTATCTTGATATTAAAACAAATATCCTTTGAAACATTTTTTATCAGTTAGCTTCTACAGTTCTTTTGTCTCCTATATATGCAACTGTTATGTGGGAGACTTTTCCACTTATAGGAGGCATGAGAATGTGTTTATTTGCAGAAGGCCCAATAACTGAAGTGCTCTGTTGACAATTCATAAAATGTAGAAGCAGTTGAGTATTCAGCCTCCTGAGTGTCTTAGGAAATTTGTACTGTTCATTATATTTTCAGTAATATATCTAATTAGGGGATTGAGATACAGGTAAGCACTGAGTTCAAACCCTTCTTCATTTCATCTTTTAAGTTCCTGGATCCTCATCCCACTTGAGTTCTTATTAAGCACTTTGGCTATAAATTATATTCAAAGAATCAGTATTGCCCTTAAGCTTATCCCTTCTGTACAGTCAGTGGGGAGGGCAAACCATCAGGAAAATGAAAGTAAGTTGTTAAGGCTTATCTCTATACCTTTTCCCATTCTGACTTCTATAAAATACTGGAAAAGAATAGTGAATGTCTTAAATTACATAGATTAAATATTAAAATCTGATTTCTTACTGTTCTTGAGTGAAGTCTGCGTTAGTTGTGTATAGTATCCAGCAAAGCTCTGAAGTGCTACTTGTGAGAGGAGAGGAAAAACCTTAACAGAAAATCTCTCTGGTAGCCTTGTCTTCTCAAGAGTCTAGACTACCACCACCTTCTTTCAGTCAGGAGCTCATTGAATGTAGGCAGTGAAAAGACCACCTCATCTAGTAAATAGTAAAGGCAGTTCTTGGTGTATTCCTACTTGTATGTACTGCTTTAAGTACTGTCTTTATATTAGGGAGACACCGTATTAAGCCAGTGAACTAAGGCTTTATTTGGCAAGTTTGGGTGTCCCTTTGCCAAGCATAATGGCAAGCACTAAGCATTCAGTGGTGACAAAATCACTGGTTCCTGCTTTCACTGAGCAGTCTGTTCAAAGATAATGATGTCGTGACACAAAAATGTAGCAAATGCCGTGATGGAGCAACAGAGTTGATGACAGCTATAAAGGCCATGACTGCGATAAATTATGACCTAGTCAAAATGACTGGGAAAGACTTCGTTGAAAGGGATAATTGAACTAAGACTTGAAGGATGAGGAGTAATTAGAGAAGTGGAGAAGAGAGCATATCCAAAGAAAGGCACACTCTTCCAGGACTGAGAAAGCTATCTGCTCAAGTAGGAGTATGTGTTTTAGTAGAGTTAGAGGCTGAAAAACAGGTAAAGAGTGTACTACAGGTGGCTTTACCAGTTACGTTCCATGTTTTGTCTCTTAAGAACAGTTGGAAACAGGTTTCTAAGCTGTGTGTGTATGGGGCCAGGAGTGGGGTAAAGGATAGTGGGTCACCTAACAAAATTGCCATTTAAAGAATACACAATGCAGTTTTGAGAACAATCTGTATGGGGCGAGAGATGTCTATTGGGAATAGCCCGTGAGAGAAATGATTACAACATAAAGTGGAGGGCAGTAGTGAATGGATCCTACATATTTCCTGTCTCACTTAGTGCTCAGTATCCTTTCCTGGGTAATCCAGGCTTCAGTCGTGAGACTGATCTCTAACTACATTCTTCCCTAGGCGATCCCATCTAATCCCAGGACTTTGAATACAATCAGTATTTTAGTTCCTCCAAAATATTCCTAGGTCCCCAATTACTCCAGTCTTGAGTGTTCCAAATCAATCTCTTCATTAACCTGCATTCATCCATTTGCTCAGGGCAAATACTTTGGGTATACTTTCTTTTGTACCCTGGATCTAGTCCTTAACCAAATCCACATAGTTCTACCTTGAAAATATATCCTGAATCATCTAACACTTCTGACCACCACTACTACCTGCTTAGAGCAAGTAACCACAGTAGCTTATAATGGTTCTTTCTACTCATCATCCTGCAGTGATTTTTGTGGACAAGTCAGGTTTTGTCACTTCCTGGTTCCCCAAACTCCACTGGTTTTCCCATCATACCTAGAATTAAATCCTAAATTTTGGTCTATGTGCGTTCATTATTTGGCCTAATTGCCTACTGTTTTGTTCTTGCTCACTAGTCGATCTTCAAGCATGCAAAGGCTTTTCACTCAAATATTCTTAACGTTCATTCTTTCTAAATTCAGGTGTTTGCTCCAGTGTCATCAGCTCAGAGGCCTTCCATGTCCACCACTAAAACATATCCTTAGTTACTTTACTTATTGGACAGTTTTTTCTTAATAGCACTTAAAGCTTACCCAGAATTACGCAAACTTTATAAGTGAAAAACATTTTGGTCACTTTATCCCTGGTGTCTGGCATATTGACATTTGTTGAGCAAATATGAAAATGATGGGTGTTGGACTAAAAATGGGTAGTAGTGATGATTACACTGGAATTGGAAGTGTCTTGGTTTGAGGAAGGAGTTCAGCTTCAGACATTTTGAATCTGAGGTATTCAAGAAATGTTGGAATTTGTTTACTTGAAGTTCAACAATCTGGCCCAAAGACAATGTATAAGAATATACAGGTGGTTCTTGTAGTATAAGAATATATAGGTGGTGCTTGTAATATGCTTGGGCGAGTTCGCCTGGGAGCTGGGCGGGAGGAAGAAGTATTTAACAAGAGCAGAGCCCCAGAGCTGATTTTCAGAAGAGCGCCATCATTTGATGTCCAGTTTAGGCCTAAAGGGAATTTACAAAGTACCCGCACCGGTGGGTAGAAATACTGAGTTTCCGACAGGTCTGCAGGGCCCTTTCTTCAGGTGTGGAAGATCAAGTGAATAAAACAGGTCTGCTGATCGAGTTTCCTCATTTTGTCACGTTAAAATGGGAAGTTATTTAAATAAAAGGGTAAAATTACGCACAGATCCCTGGAGTCGGTCGTCTCGTATAACTAGGATAAACACTAAGAGCCTTGGACCCCCTTACCGTGTGCTGCCCCGGGCCTGTCTGGTAACCCGGGCTCGCCCCAGCACAGCGGCAAGCGCTTATTTTGTCCCTCGGAGCCAGGGCATCTTGATTCTGATACGAGAGGCAAATCGCACCCGTGCCACTCGGAGCAGAGACTAAATTCCAAAACCGCGCTGGCCACGTAGGCTGCAGCTCCGCCTACGATGCATCTGACGTCATCACACGGAGACATGGTTGCCGAAAGTCCCCGCACGCAGGCCGCACCGCGCCGTTAGTGCGCTCGCGCACATGGAGCCTTTCAGTGCCTGAGCAGGACGCGCGTCGCGGAGTGAGGCCAGCGCTGAGAGCGCGCGGTCAGGCATCGCTAGGGGCAGCCCGCCGCTCCCTCTGGGCTTCTGGAGTAATTGGGTTTCCCCACGTGCTTCCGCTTGGCTGCTGGCTGGGATCCGCTGGGTTCGGGGTGCAGGTACCCAAGACGGGATGGCTGGGGATGGGTACCAAGGTCGGTGTCTGTGTCCTGCTTGGGGCCAGAGGTGGCCGGCTCGAGGATGAAGGCTCTGTATCCTTGCCAATGCTCGGCCCGCGTCGACTGCCGGCCCACACGGGCGCTCACTCCTAGATGACAGGCTCCTCTTCCCCGATTGGCGGCCACTCTCCGCGTGCTTCTCGAGCGCTCTCCGGGGTTGCGTGGCTCCATCTCCACCTTCTGGGGAACTCTAGCTGGGGGTCTGGGTGTGTGTGTGTGGGGGGGGGGGGGGGGTGGTGACAACACTTTTGCTTTCCGCGGAGCTTGCCTACGGTTCCTGGTTTTGGCGCTAGGCATTAAACCGAGGCAGTCTGATTCCAGATCCTCCCATGCTTTCATTTGTTTGTCTAAGCTCGTTCGTTTATACTGTTTTTTTCAGGAGTCACATTCAGGACTTGTTTCATTTGCTAATGCATCTAGAGTGGTGGCTGGCACATAGATGCTGTGTTTACTTGTTAGACAAATAGACGAGTGAATGAAGAATAGTTCTCTTTCTTTTCCTTTCAAGGCCCTCTTCCTACGTTAAGCCTTCCATGGCAATTCCAGCCCACGGTAATCTCAGACCTTCATCAGACTATTGGCTGTACTATTATTTTTGCGTCTAGTTTTATCTGTCTTTAGACAAATTGTCCCTTATCTCTTTCTCTTGAATATTCTCTGCAAGGAGAATGAAAGCTCCTTGAAGTCAAGTCTTGTCTGGTATTGTTTCTGGGGCTCCCACAGTAACTAGAGCAAAAAGCAGTCCCTACTAACTAGTTGTTGATTGATTTGTGTGTGATCTCTATGTGGCCTCAACTCAACTGACAAGTTGGGCAGAGTGGGGAGCTGGAAAGAGCTTAGGCTTTGGAGTCGGGCAGATTTGAGTGTGAATCCTGTCATATTCCTTCCTTAAAATACTTGAATTCTTTATACTTGCTCCTTTCCTCATAAAAAAGGAGCCATTGATTGTAACATAATGTTTTATATTAAGAAAGGACTTCTAAAATCCATATTTGGATTGGAGGGTAGAAGGACAGTTAAGGCACACTTAAGGTTCAATTAATGAACTTTATATTTAGAATGCAGCAGGCTCTGTAGTTTCTAGGTAGGCTGTCATTCTTCCTTCAATGTTGTAGAAATATAATTGATATTCCTGATGTTTCTTTGGTGTATTTATTGTGGTAATAATGCATTATCGTATTGTACGTAATCCAACTTTAAGGTCTGTCTGTACAGGCTTCAGTACGGGTTTCTCTCCTTTGAGGAGACAGTGGGACACATTTCATCACAGTAACATTCATTGATTTCCTTTCTCTGACTTTATTAGTAATGCATATGAATAAAAAAAACAAAACTCTAAAAAAACAAAAGAACAAAATAAGAACCACCTGCAGTCTCACCATCCACAAAAATTACATTTTTGTGTTTTCTTTCAGGTTTTTTTTCCCTTCATGTTATGTACATGTGTTTAAAAGATGGTATCATGCTTTGTTCTGTGATGTCAGTCTTCTCATAAGCATCTTTATCCATATCCTTAGATAATTTCTGAAAGTGATTTTGAAGGAGCTTTTTTGAAAACTGCCTTATTATCTCACAAATATACCATCATATATTTTAATCATTCTATTTTGTGGACCATTGTTTCAAGTTTTTGAAAAAACTCCTTGATAGAAGTATGAAATACAGCTTCCCTTCTGACTTCCATGCTGAGGAAACATTTTCTTTGCCTCCCAAGCCTCAGTTTCCTAATTTTAAAAATGAGACTGACATGTTCCCTAGGGAGCAGTTTGAGGGTTAGGTAAAATGATACTTCCCAACGTGCCTAGCATAGCTCCTGGTCCCCCAAGAGGCTGCCAGCTAATGTTCCTCACCCAGAATCTGGCGTTCATGTCCAGTTGTGTTTCCTTTCTCTCTCTTTCAGTGATAGTCTTTCACCATGCATCGGAAGAAAGTAGATAACCGAATCCGGATTCTCATTGAGAATGGAGTTGCTGAAAGGCAAAGGTCTTTGTTTGTTGTAGTCGGAGACCGAGGAAAGGACCAGGTAATACCTCGTAAACACTTCCTGGCTGACTTTGTGTCTTGTCCCACAGTTAGCTTGTTACTGCTCCTCTGAGGTTTCAGCACATAATAACATTAAGGTCCCTTTGACTGCTTTTCTCTACACAAAATGCCTTGTGAGAACCTAGGGGTGGACTGAGCCCAAGGTTAAGAGTGTGTGACCGGGCTTCTAGTCCCTGCCTGGGCACTGCCCTCTCCTGGCCCTCTGTTTACTTTCCAGATCTGTCAAAATGAGGTCTGGCAGTCTCTGAGGTCTCTTTTGGCCATGAGATTCTGTGACTTTTTCCTTTGGCAGGTGGTCATACTCCATCACATGTTGTCCAAAGCAACTGTGAAGGCTCGGCCTTCAGTGCTGTGGTGTTATAAGAAAGAGCTGGGGTTTAGCAGGTAAGTTGGGCCTTTTGAGTGTCCCATACCATTTATAGTTGCTGCTTCTTAATTAAATGCCAGGAAATGATTATCTGACATAGTTTTTCAGGGATTGTTGGGGAGCTGCGACCTCTGAGGACTCTTCCAAATAGTGAAAATAATAGAGCTGATGTCCTTCTTTCATTCCTGACGATAAATTTCAAAGCCACCTTGCCTTTCCCAGGTCTTCTGGGGAACGGTACTGTGTAGTAGAAGCTTTGGCTTGAGACTAAGGTAATGAGGCCACCAAGGTTGGTTTCAAGCTCTGGTCTAGCCAAATAGGAGGTTTAGGTACTCTCGTTACCCTTCTTTTGAAGATGAGAATCTGTGGAAGGTGCCAGGGCAGCACAGTAGGATTCCCCCACAGACTCACCCCTGGCTCCGGGCCCATCCTGTTAACCTCTCTACTCTTTCCTTCACTTTTAAACGGAGGGGGTTGGCCCTGCGATAGCTGAGTTCCTTCTGGCTCTGAAGGTCTTGATGGGTGATCAGTGAGCCTGTCCCCTGCTCCCACCCCTTTAGCCTCTCTGGTTAACTGGCTCTCCTGGGGTGGGTGGGTGATTGCAGTCATCGGAAGAAAAGAATGCGACAGCTACAGAAGAAAATAAAGAATGGGACGTTGAGCATAAAGCAAGATGACCCCTTTGAACTCTTCGTGGCGGCCACAAACATCCGCTACTGCTACTACAATGAAACCCACAAGATCCTGGGCAACACCTTTGGCATGTGCGTTCTCCAGGTAAGTGGCTTGCTGCAGCTTGGGACTGGCGTCAGAGAGCGGAGGGCTCCCCTCAAGAACAGGCGGACAGTAAGGAGAAAGATTGACCCATACAGCCTCCCCCAGGCAGTATCAGTGGAATAGTTGGCCACTTTCCAAAGCAAATTGGGTAACTCAGCCCATATAAAAATAAACTTTTCCACTTAAAGCGACGCTTAACCTAGAGATACCAAAACTGACACAGGTGCTCCATCATGGCTGGTTCTAACCGGCTGAGGATGAGAAAGAAAGTATTGTGAACTTAGAGGGACCCCAGATTCCCAGATCCTAACTGGAAGTAGGCGAAGACTTTGGTGAGCAGGGAGCAGTGGGACCTGTTTTAACTGGCTGGGCGTAGTCCTTAAAACCCCCTCACTTTTCCTCCACAGAGAACTACCTGGTACATTTCTTCTCTGGTATTCTTGTCTTGCCAGAACAAACTTCACATTTTTTTGTTTCCAGCTCTGGCGGTCTCTGTTTTATCCTTTGATTCTTGGACACCTGTGACCCCCCCAACCCCTCCACCCCGAAAGGAGAACACATTTAAGCCCCCGTCCCCAATTTTGGTGCGTGTTTATCATTTGCGTGTAGTACCAGGATTACGTATGTCATAAGTTGTACCTTATGAAAGGTAAGTTAAGAAATGAGGGGAAAGTGCTCGCCTTGGCAGCACATATGCTAGAGCTGGAATGACACAGAGAGGAGTAGCACGCTCCCTGTGCAAGGGTGACACACAGCTTCCTGAAGCATTGCATAGTTTTGGCATTCAGAGGGCACTTGTTGGGATGAGCACTGGGTGTTACATGTAAGTGAAGAATCTCTAAATTCTGCTCCTGAAACCAACCTTATACTCTATATTAACTAACTGGATTTTAATAAAATCTTGGAAAGAAAAAAAAAAAAGGAATGAGGGGAAAAAATCACGAATTGGAATTTTTTGGTTTATTTTTCTTACATTCCACTTGTTTGTCCCATACTGCTGGCCTGCATCCCACCTTGTAGACTAGAAAGGAGCATTTCGCTTCTTCTCACCTGGCCACTGATTGGTAGTGAGTGCTCTTAGGCCACCACTGTTACCAGGTGCAGTGAAGATGGCTCCTTGAGGCAGCGGCTCCCCCATGTGGGGCAGTTGGAGTTTTGTCAGATAGGTTTTATGTAAACACATCTGAAAACGAACGTGAGGTATTTGTGAAATACAAGTGCAAATCACTGGAGAGGATTTCTTCCCAGATAGGATCTTGTGTGAGGTTATTAGACACACTTTTGTCATACAAAACCGGGTACACCTCTTGCCCAGTGCTGGGCTCTCTTCTGTGCCCCTAAGTAAAGGGAGGTGTGTGGGCCCCTCCTGGTGAGTTGAGTGAGGGCTATGGTCTTGGGTTCGTGTTTAGAAGCCCTCCTTTTATTTAGTTAAACTTCCCCGGGGGTGCTCTTTGTGTGACTAGCCCTTTTTGAGGTCTCTTTCTTTCAGGATTTTGAAGCTTTAACTCCAAACTTACTGGCCAGAACTGTGGAAACAGTGGAAGGTGGTGGGCTGGTGGTCATCCTCCTACGGACCATGAATTCGCTCAAGCAGTTGTACACAATGACCATGGTGGGTATATGGTTTTTAACTGAGTTGTGGCGGTTCACATCAAGTGTGTTTTTGCTGTTTGCCACTTTCTTTTAGGAGTTCCTATGGAGGGGGCACCTGGGTGGCTCAGTGGGTCAAGCAGCCGACTCTTGATTTTGGCTCAGGTTATGATCTCACTGTGGGATCGAGCCCCATGTCAGACTCTGCACTGAGCATGGAGCCTGCTTGAGATTCTCTCTCCTCTCTCTGCTCCTCCCCTGCTTGTGTGTACTCTTTCCTCTTCTCTCAAAATAAGTAAGTAGACGTTAAAAAAAAATTCCTGTTGAACGGCTTTAGTGAGCAGTCAGCACAAGGTCTGGGTTGGGAGTTCTTTGACTGTAAGTAATGAGAACGTCACTGCAGAGAAAGTCAGTGACCTTGAGTGTGCCCAGGCATCTCTGAATTTCATATTTCCTTGCAGGTATTTGTAAATTCTATACCTGTGAGATTCATGTATGTGGCAGTTATTAGGTAGTTACGTTTCTGGAATGGTATTCTGCAAAGAGCCACGCCAGTGCCCCCATTTTGGATTACTAAAAAGGGACCATGCACAGACTTGCCCACCAGTCCTCATGCTAATGGATAACGAAGGAACATTTGCCACTTCCACTCCCAGTTTGGCAAGGGATTTGACTGTGAGAGGGGTAGTTTCCACCCAAAGCTGAGGACATGGTTAGGAGTGGGAATATGTCTCTGTGGATTCACAGCTAGTCTGCGACCCCATCAGTATTGCCATTTGCATGTTCCTTGTGACAGGTTTTAGTCACAGGCCTGTGGCGCTGCTCAGGAATGGCGTTAGAATTGGCCTCAGGGTTTCACAAGCTGCGTTTATGCGGGGACATGGACTTTTCCATAGATCTTAGTAGCTGCTTCCCATCACCGCTTCTCCTATAGCCCCTCTGGCTTCCTCAGGGGCCCTCAGACATGCTCAGTATGCTCTCACCTCATGGCCTGTGCACTTGCTGTTGCCATTGGGATATCTGCACAGCCCGCTTCTCACTGCATTCATGTCCCTGCCCACATACCCCCTCCTCTGTGGGACAACTCTGTCTGTCACTCCTTGACCTGCTTGATTTTCCTTCACAGCATCTGCCAGCTACCTAAAGTTACATATTTATTTGTTTGTTGCCTGCCTCCCTGTGCTGGTCTGTAAACTTCATGAGGTTAGGGACTTAGTTTTCCTCACTGGTGCATTCCCTGATTCTGGAAGAGTGCCTGGTGTTTAGTGAGCACTCGTTAAATACTTGTGAATGAATGAATGACTTTTTGCCCACATCAGTTTGTTTGTCCTCCTTCCCCCTTTTCCCTGCTGCCTGCTTCTCACCTCAAAGGTACACCACGTAAGTAGCCACACTCCTGCCATTTGCTGTCACTGCACATTGTTTTTCATTTGGAGCATTTGCCAGATTTTTTTTTTTTTTTTTTTTTTTTTTTTTTACTCGTTTCCCTCTGACCGTTAGACTGTAGACTCCATGAGAACAGAGGTCCTGCTTTATTGAATACCGGTGTATACCCGGCATGTCTGGTTCACGGTTGGTATGTGTGTTTTATTGAATGAACGAACGAACACATTTTATGATGCTGGATAAAATGTGGAAAAAGTCAAAGCCGAGGTGAGGGGATGTTTGTTGTAATAAAAAACATTACCTTTAGCATTTGATGATCCATCCCAGTTCCAGCAAATAGCAGCTGGGCTGTTCAGCACAGCAGGTTCTGGAGGAGTGGGTTTCCAGCAGTAGCTCTGGCGCCTCCTTATCCCAGGCTTGCTTGATAAAGCTGCTTCACATTTGGACCGCGAGCCGCAGCGCTGTTGGGATGTCTGTGTTCACAGATGTTGTCTCTTTCAGGACGTGCATTCAAGATACAGGACGGAGGCCCATCAGGATGTGGTGGGACGGTTTAACGAGAGGTAGGTCTGAAGCACATTTCTCGGGTCCTTAATTGTGGGGAGCCGCGGTGCAGAGAATATTTTTGTCTTGGACCCAGATGAAAGCGGTGCTTTTGTCTGAGGGAAGGTAGCACAGGGGTCCAGAATGGTGAGATTCCTGACAGCAGTGGTGGTGGTGAAGCCAACTGGAAGCAGTGAAAGTGAGTGGGGAGCTGGGGCCTGAACCAAGTCACTCTCCTCTCTGGCTTTTAGCTTACTCATCTGTCAAAGGGGTGATTTGTCTGGATCACTGTTTCCCAAAATGTGTTTCACAGAACACCAGTATTTTAAGAGGGACTTTATGTCAAAAGGGTTTCTGCTAGATACGTCTGGGAAACGCTGATACAGTTTTTCCTATGTGAAGATTCACGTTAGCCTATTGTGGTCTCCAAAAAGTGTTGCAACAGCAGGGATCTATTTTAACTGATTGTTTCCCAGATTTATTTGACCATAGAGCCCTTTTTTAGGGAGCATCAGTTAGCAGCCTGTGAAACACCTGAAGAAGCTGTGGCCTGGATCAGTGGTCCTCATCTATAGCAGTCTTGCTCCCTGGGGACATTTGGCGATGCCTGGAAACCTTTTGCTTGTCATGACTTGGGGGGGAGGGAGTTGGGGGGACGCTACTGGCATCTAGTGAGTAGAGGCCAGGGGTGCTGCTAAATAGCCTAAAACGTACAGAACAATCCCACAACCAAGAATCATCTGGTCTGAAATATTGCTGGTGCTGAGGTTTAGAAATCCTGGCCTCGGTGAAGCTTGGGGCCTTTCTAGTTTGAATCCTCTCTGGTGTTTTCATTTAGTAGATGGAGTAGGCCAGGGGGGGCGGCCGTGTGCTGCTGGATAGAATGGAAGCCTGTGAAAGTAGCGTGTGAGGTTCTCTTCTTGCACCTGTGGGAGAAGTTTGACTTCTCTAGCCAAACACATGTTTTCCTGCACGTGGGAATGTCTGTGTTAATTTCTTGAGGCAGCTTTCTTCTCCCTTTTCTTTGTTTTTTCTTCCTTTGTGGCAGAAGGTAAATTTGTGACTGGTGATCATTTGTGGAGTGGGGTAGGAATTCCCCATTTAAGGATGGCCTGAGACAGCTCAGTCCTCAAAGGGTGAGCCTCAGAGGTGTGGGAAGGGCCCTATGACTCAGTTGTGCACAGTAGGAATGCTTGTAACCCGTCTCGAGAGAGAGTTCTGGGTTTTCTTGTTTGCCGTATAGAATGTGTTCAGGTGCCTTGTAGACGAGGCTCAGAGTCCTCTTACCCTGCTCTCCAGCTGGGTTTTGGCTCTTTCTAGCTTTCTTAGAGATGTGTGGGCATCAAATCATTTTCCTCAGGAAAAGCCACACCTTTATCATGTATCGGCCCCTCCCCCCGACGCCTCATTACGGTTTTCTTCCTCAGATTTATTCTCTCTCTGGCCTCTTGTAAGAAGTGTCTTGTCATCGATGACCAGCTCAGCATCCTGCCCATCTCCTCCCACGCTGCCAGCATTGAGGCCCTACCTCCCCAGACCCCGGTGAGTCAGCCAGGGGTCCAGGAATCTGGGTGAGGCCGTGTTTTTTGTGTGGACCCTCTCGTGGCAGTGGCAGACCTTGTCCTCTCCTCTCTGGTAGGATGAGAGTCTTGGTCCTTCTGATCTGGAGCTGAAGGAGTTGAAGGAGAGCTTGCAGGACACCCAGCCCGTGGGCGTGTTGGTGGATTGCTGCAAGACCCTAGACCAGGTGAGTGTGGTGTTCCGAACTTCCCTGTTCCAGTATAGACAGGGCAGAGGTAAAATAGAACATGCAGAAAGCAGCGGAAGCCAAGTTAGGACAAGTGAGGATTTGGATCCTCCTTGGGGAAGGGACCTTTTCTCTTGCTTGAACCCCTGCAGCAACACCAGGGCTAGTCTCTGTCATCTGCGTTCATGGCAAGTCCAGAGATTATGTCCCCCTCACCCCAGGTCATTAATTCCCTGAGTAGAGGGTCTGGGGGGAAGATGGATGTAATTTAAAGAGGAACCCCCAGTGCTTTTTCCAAGAGAGGGTGATGTATCTGTATTACTCCATTTCAGTTCAGTTTTGATGACATGAAGGTTTTGGCCTATGCCTTGCATAGAAGTGAGAGGAGAGCCTGAGGCCCCTTGTACTTACTCTAGTTCCAGAGTGAGGCCTGATAAGGCCCTCCAGGGTGGGATGGACCTGATCTGTAGGTACAGATAACAGACTGGGTGGGAGCTTCCAGAGTGCATTTCTGTGCTCACGGAGGTGGCCAGGGCTGGTAAACTCGGATTCTCTCCTGGTTCCTGGGGTGAGCAGAGCTGACCGGGCAGTGCCCAGAAGCCTTCAGTTTGTCAGGTGTGTTCAGGATTCTGATCGTGAGCCTCTTGGCACTGGACTCTTCCCTCACGATGGAAAACAGCTGCAGTGACACGTCCCACTTGGGGCAGAATCCCAACAGGCTGATTCCCTTGTTCATTCTAGAAATAGAATTATCAGCCACATAGCTCTCTATGCAGAGGCTGCGGGCTTTAGATGGCTTTGAATCCAGTCTGGGATATTCTTTGTCAGAGGAAATGCAAGAGGATGGAGAAAGGGCAGAAGAGGGAGAAGCTGTAAAAGCAGCAGGAGTGTTATAAGAAAATACGTAGAAAAAAAAACACTGAGTGTGAAAGAGTGTTCGTTAAAAATGGAAAATGGTGTTTCTACTTGGCAGTCCCGCTCTGTAGAGACAACTGCCGTTAACAGTTTATTTTGGATACTTCTGGAACTTTGTCTACGCATACAAATGGATATTTTAAAAATACGTGGAGGGGTTACACTGTACAGTGTAAGTGATCCCCTATTAGGCATTGGGTTGGTTGGTTGCAGTTTTTTTGCTGTTATAAACTGTGCTGTTAGGATCTTCTTACAGATACACATTATCTCTGGGATAAGTTTTTTTCCCAGAAGAGTTGCTGGATTAGATTGTGTGTGCATTAAAATAGGTGTCGTGCCAGTTTGTGGAACCAGCAACAGTGTGTGAAAATGCCCTTTTCCGTATGCCTTGCCAGCGTTGGCTACAGTTAAACTTCCAAGCCTACCAATGTGCTGTGGGAACACAGGATCCCTGTTTTTGTTTGTATTGCTTTAATTATGAGAGAAGCAGGCACTTTATCATGTAATTACTGGTCATCTGGGTCTTTTTGTTTTGTAAGTTAGGTTGTGTATTGGTTTTTCATTTTAGCAAATTATTTTAGAATGCGTTTTCAGTTCAGATTTCTTACTCTTCTATTCTTACTCTTCTTTTTTAATAGTGGATTTTTTCTGGTTATGTTTTGTCGGAGTTTAAAACTTCTCTGAACAACAAAAGGGCAAAATCCGGTGTTCAACAAAGGCCACGTTAAGATGACCTGGGCCTGGGTCCCCTGACTGTTTCCTCTGGAGAGACTCTGGCTTCCTGGAGCTCTTCCTCTTCCTTCCCTTCCATTTGCCTGGGCTTGTGTCTCTTCAGTGTCTTCTTAGTGTTGCTGCCTGGGTGTATAAGGCAACTTCAGGACCTGACAGGCCAGGCTGGACCATCTGGTCTTCTTCCCAGTCTTGGTGGCCTGTTCCCAGGGCAGATGCCAGTCGGGTAGTAGAGTTTGGCCCCTAAGTAGTGTTGTGGTTTCTCCTCTCACTCAGTGCCTGCTCTCTAAGGTGCCTGACATGACCCTAGGCACTGGGCTCAACAGTAAAAAAGAGGGGCACACCTGCTTCGTGGGGCTTACGTTCTGGTGGCATGAGACTGACCGTGAGTCAAGGAAACCCGCCCATCCTGAAGTGTAGTAGAAGGTGCTGTGTGCAGTGTGGACACAGGGCATCAAAGAGGGGTCGGGGGTGCAGGAGATAGGTAGAGGCTGCGGCTCTGGGAGGCTTTGTTTAGAAGGTGATCCTCAAGCAAAGCCTGGAAGGAGTTGGGGAAATGAGCCATGGGGCCATTGGGGAGAGTGCTTCTGGCAGAGGGGCCACCGTCTGCATAGGCCCGAGGTAGGAGTCTGCCTGGGGTACTCGAGGACCAGCAAGGAGGCCGCCAGGGGTGAAGCAGAGTGAGCAGATGAGAGTAGGAGGAGATGACAGAGGTCACACGGCACAGCCACGTGACCCTGAGGGCTTGGCCTTACTCTCTGAGAGGTGGGTGCCTTGGAGGGTTTCACATGCACAGTGTCTCAGCCCGGCTGCCAGAGGGATTCTTAGGCTGAATTTTAAAAAAGATCCCTCTGGCTGCTCTGTTGAGTCTAGACTGTAGGGGAACAAAAGGGAAGCCGAAAGACTAACTAGGAGCCTACTGTAGTAAGAGGGGGATTCAGGATAGTGGCTTCAATCAGCCCGGTAGAGGATGGCACTGGTGAGGAATGGTAGGATTTATACATATTTTGAAGGTAGCGCTGATGGGCTTTGCTGGTGAGTCAAGTGTGGGGAGAAAATGGGGAAGGCTTTTGGCTTAATCAGTTGGACAGTTAACTGACAAGGGGAAGACTGTAGATGGAGGAGGCTGGAGGGGGACACTGGGTTCCCCTCAGGTCAGTCAGAGAAGCCTGTCTGATGTACAAGGGTAGACACACAGGGGCAGTTGTGTGTATACAGGAGTTTGATGGGTGGGGAAGAGGTCTGGACCAGAGACATGAATGGGGTGTTACCAGCATCTGAGGGGCATTTAAAGCCTTGGGCCTGAGAGGAGATGACCAGGCAGTGAGAAGCCCGAGTGCTAAGCCTTGCCTCCTGCAGGAACTGCCCCCACTTTGATTTAGCCTCAGCTTCTCCACAGTGGTAGTAGTAGATGGCTGAAACTTGGTCTTTCTCAAAGCTCACCTGATAGGGTTCTCTTTTCACAGGCCAAAGCTGTCTTGAAGTTCATTGAGGGGATCTCTGAAAAGACCCTGAGGAGTACTGTTGCGCTCACGGCTGCCCGAGGAAGGGGGAAGTCTGCAGCCCTGGGATTGGCTATTGCTGGGGCAGTGGCTTTTGGGTAAGGAGGTCTGATTCCCCCTCTTTGGGAATTCTGAGCTCTCAGGGAGAAATGTGCAGGATAGGGGTCAGGGGACTAGGAAACTGTTCCTGGGTCTGTGCAGGCTCCTGTGTGATTTCTGTAGGTCATGGGTTCTGGTCTGGAAAACATCAATACCGTTTCCCCCAAGCACACCCAGCCCCAGCCCCAGCCCCATGGGGCACATATATGTGTGCAGGCACACGTGGACACATACACCAGGACCTTCGTGATCAATATTTAAAGTTGAACAGATACACACAGAAAGTTGGACAGACATAGAAAAGCAAAGAAATGGGGGTAAGAAACGTTAAAACTCTTCAGGAGATGGGAATGTGTATGACCATGTTTGCTAACTGCGAAAAGTACAGGTTTGGCATTTGAATGATTTTGATCAGTAGAAAATCTTGTTTGCTTTTGAGGATCTACATTTGAGTGTTTTTTGTCCTGGGTGGAAGATTTATGCAGTTGCCAGAAGAGTGTGTACTTCCAACTTCGCAGTCAGAAATAATGGATCTAGAATTTACCATGTCCTCATATGCGTTATCTTCCTTGGTGCTCCTAATAGCTCCGTAAGCATTTCACAGATGGGTCAACCTAGGCTCAGGGAGTTTCAGTGACTCACTCAAGATCCCCCAGCAAGTCAGTGCTGGTAGTGCTGGGGCTGAGCCCAAGCCCTGACTTGTCTCTTGTCCCTGCTGCTCCAGTGGTACCAATCAACACCTTAGCCGTTAGCATCCTTTACACTGAACAGGGGTCCCCTGCAGGTTCACTGTGGCCTTGGCCTGAGCACTGATTGAGCTATCTGGCCTCACAGTTTGGAACCCTCTCAACACAGCCAGTGATGACTGTGAAGCCACCCTCTTGTCCCAGGACACAGGCTTGGGAAGCAGCATGCTGGCTCTGCACACTGAGGGCGTTGTGTCCAGGCACCTTTGGGCAGTGTGCCTTCATAGATGTCGTAGCTAATTGCCAGGACATACTACCTTCGAGTTGTTAATGTGTTTTTGTTAGTTTGGGAGGAAAAATATCCTCAAAACTGGAGTTGCTTTACTTTTCCTTCCTAAAAAGTGTTCTTTTTTCCTGCCATTATCTCTGGTTATCACCTGTGTGATAGGGCGAACAAAAATCTCTTCTTTTCTCTTAATGTTCCCTAAAAGTCCCTTGTATTTCCTAATGACTTATAAAAGTTCTCTTCTTTTGTTCAATAGGTACTCCAACATCTTTGTTACCTCCCCAAGCCCTGATAACCTCCACACTCTTTTTGAATTTGTATTTAAAGGATTTGACGCTCTGCAGTATCAGGTAGGGAATTAGAAAAGAACTCCCATTGATTCAGAGCTGGGTTTAATCTAGGTAAAATCTTTGGGATGCCTGCTTACTTTAATTTTCACTTCTAAAGCTTGTTTCTAAAGTTTGTCATTGGTTTGACTCTCTTTCCATCAGGAGCATCTGGATTATGAGATTATTCAGTCTCTCAATCCTGAATTTAACAAAGCAGTGATCAGAGTGAATGTATTCCGAGAACACAGGCAGACCATTCAGGTGAGGCTCATTCTAAAACCCTGCTAAGTGGGGCCAGTGTCCTGCTGTATTTAAATACAGTAATTTCACATCATTTTATGTCCTGTGTAATTGCATGTCTTGTATACAGTGTTGTTGTTTTATGATAAACCTGGTCCAGATTTTCAGCCTCTTCTCAACGAAGACATTCAAGCAAACTAACAAATAACGTATGTAGCCAGAATGGAAAGTTGTAGTTTTATCCCTTGAAAATTGAGTAAGTGTATTTGTGAGTATGCTAAGCAGCTAGAAGAAATACAGTCACTGTTCTGACATCAGTTCTCATTTTGCTGGGTTACAGCAGGTTTTGAAATGGTGCATCTGTAACTAGAACAATAATCTCTCCGTTTAAAAGAAAAAAAGAACTTTGCAAGATGTACTCTGAATCTTTGTGGTTTAGCCAGTGGCCTATTTTCCTTTTTAAACAGTGTTTCCCTGAAAGCTCTATAAATCTCCAGTGCTCTGGAGGCCTGAATGGCTTGCACTTGTCCAAAGGCTGCAATTTTGTTCAGTTGTAGAAAAGCATCAGTGTGACAGGCTTGCAGAAAGGATGGGGGCCGCTGGGCTCCTAGCGGAGGAGGCTCATCGATTATTTTCGGACTGGGGTCGGGGTGGGAAATGGGCCAGGCACACTTGGCAGTTTATGTCTTTGACCTTTATGCTCGTTAAAGCATATGTATGTATGCCTGTCAGGGAGGTATTTCTTTTATCAAAGGTCCAAATTGTAAATTATGGTAAGTGTTTATACTTTTGATCTAAGGAGCTTAATTTTTTCTTACTAGGTCTCTTTCTAGAATCTCTTTATTCTTTAGTTTCTTCCACTTTTGCCTGACGCCCTTGGCTGAGGGGGGGTGGGTACAGATGGCGGGGTCGGGTGAGGTGGAGGGCAGGAGGCCGCAGGGAGAGTGCGGCGACCTGTTAAAACTCAAAAGTACACAAACCAAGGAAGGAACACTTTTCTCTGAAATGCCCAGGCTCAGCCCTGCTGCTCCTTGGATTTGTAATTAGAGACCTGCTTGTATTGCCAGAGTCCCTTTGTCTCCAGACTGGAGTTTAAGCCCAGAAGAGGTGACCTGACTTTATGAGGCTCCATTTGTGTCCCTTGGAAGCCTCCTCTTCCTTGCTGGAAATTGAGAAAAAGACAAACATTAGATTAAAGTCGGCTGCGCCTCTTCAGGGGGCTGCTTTCTGCTGCTTTTATGAGGTGCTTGTTTAGTTTTTCCCCTTAAGAGTCCCAAGACATGGGGCCCAGCCGAGGGTGTGTGTTCCGCTGTTCTAACTAAGTGGAGTTGCTGTCTCCCTGACCTATCATTCAGCTTCCAGCAAAGCAGTTAGATGATCTTGTAATGAAATACTTCAGAAAAGTGCAGAGATCAGTGGAACACTCAGATACCCGGCACTTAAGCCTTAGAAATGTTGACATTTTGTTGTTTGCTGTGTTTCTTTCGTATTTTAAAAGGCCTTTTTAGTTTTGTTTTAAAGACTGAAAGCATCACAGACACAGTTGAAGCCCCTCTTCTACCCCTCCGCATCACATTCCCTTCTTCTGCCCCTCCCTATAGGTAGCTCTACTCTGGATTGGGATTTCCTTCTGATTCACATGTTTGTGTTTTACTATGTAATTATGCCTCCATAAATGGTAACATACTGTACTTGTCCTTTTTCAGCCTGCCTTTCTTACTCAGCATTTGTTTTCAAGATTTGTCCAAGATTGAAGCTTGTGGCTTGGGTTGAGTTTAAGCACTCTATGTTTATATTACCATTTATTGATGTTCTAGGGGTGGATGAGGGGAGCTCTCGGTTTTTAGGGTATGAATAGATTTCCAGCTCTCTTGGATTTTGCCAGATTCTCCTTCTAAAAAGTGTACCTGTTTACCTTCCCAACAGCATTTTTTTTTTTTTTTTAAGTTTTGTTTCTTCACGTTCTCATCAGCACTGGGTGTGTTATTGCTATTTAATTTTTACCTACCTGTATGTGAAATGGGATCTCCTTGTTGTCTTTGGCATTGCACTGACTACTAGTGAGGTTGAGTGTCTTTGTTTATGTTAATTGGCTGTTCAGGTTTCCTGTCCTGTAAAATCCCTCTTCATGGCCTTGAGCAAACTTTAAAAATAGCAGGAAGCCCTGAAGAAACTGAAGGGGTGGTTTGTATGCATAAGGGTGCCAAATTTTTTGTGGCATCAGGTGGCCATGCTAATAATATAAATAAGGGTGTGTGAGTGTGTGTATTAGGAAGGGGTGGCGTCTTAGAAGCATCCTCACCAGTGCGGGGAGAGTTGGTTTTCCTAATGACAGTATCCACGCAAGGAGCGCGGTACCCAGTGTGTAGCAGGTGCTTGAGAATGGTGATGTCATCCCATTTGCCGCCTCTGGGGCGAAGTCAGAGCCAGGCTGGGGGGGGAGCATGAGGAGACAGAAGAGAGAAAGGAGAGGGCAGCACCACCTATGAGTACTAGGCCAGGCACCAGCCAGGGCATTTTTCCAGATTTACCCGATTTTTCTCTCAAGCAGCCGTCAGATAGGTATTTCCTCCACTTTCCAGGAGAGGAGTCTGAAGCTGTGAGGGTTAGTGACCTGTTCAGGGGCACACAGTTGGTGGTTGAACTTCTGAACCCAGATGTCTGGCTCCAAGCTCATTCTGGTTTGCCCTGCCACGGAAAAGTGGAAAGGAGGAATGGGAGAAAGAACTGGGAACGGAGCGAGAGAGGACAGAGTGGCCTTTATGAGGCGTCATGGGGACCACAGCTATGACACTGGGTGGCCAGGTAATAATAGAAATCTTCCTCCCTGCAGTATATACATCCTGCAGATGCTGTGAAACTGGGCCAGGCTGAGCTCGTTGTGATCGATGAAGCCGCCGCCATCCCCCTGCCCCTGGTGAAAAGCCTCCTGGGCCCCTACCTTGTGTTCATGGCATCCACCATCAATGGGTAAGCACCTGGAGTGGGAGTCCTTGCTCCCCTTGTCGGTTCTTGCTTGTTAGGCTGGGGGGCGGGAGGCGGCAGAGGGAGAGGGGAAGAGAATCTTTAGCAGGCTCCACACCCAGCCCAGTGTGAGATGATGATCTGAGCCGGAAATCAAGAGTCAGACCCTTAACCCACTGCCAACTGAGCCGCCCAGGCGCCCTTAGAGGTAGCTTTTGTTGTATATTTTCTTTGTGTTCGTTTTACTTTTTTGTTTTGAACAAGAATGTAAATATACTTTACATATTGCTTTTAATTTTCTTTTTTTTTTTTTAATTTTTTTTTTTTTCAACGTTTATTTATTTTTGGGACAGAGAGAGACAGAGCATGAACGGGGGAGGGGCAGAGAGAGAGGGAGACACAGAATCAGAAACAGGCTCCAGGCTCTGAGCCATCAGCCCAGAGCCTGATGCGAGCCTGACGCGGGGCTCGAACTCACGGACCGCGAGATCGCGACCTGGCTGAAGTCGGACGCTTAACCGACTGCGCCACCCAGGCGCCCCTAATTTTCTTTTTTAACGTAACAATATTTTGTGAACTCTTTCCAGGTCAATAGATATGTATCTTCAGTATTGGAAAGATTTCTGTGTGGAAATCACATCTTCTTAAAGAGAGAATTCTGTATTACAGATGTATTATTGTGTCTTCCTTACACTGAAAATATTTAAATAAAATGGATTTTACTTTTTTTGCTAACGGCTTTATTGAGACACAGTTCGTATACCATACAGTTTTACCCACATCAAGTGTATAATTTGGTGATTTTTAGGTTTTAGATCTGTACAGAGTTGTGCAACCAGCACCATAATCAATTTTACATTTTCATCACCCCCAAAAGAAAAACCATACCCTTTACCTGTCACCCTCCAGTCTGTCCCTAATCCCCTGCCTTAGGGAACTACTCATCTACCTTCTCTGTATAAATTTATCTATTCTAGACAGTTCATGTAAATGGAGCCATACAGTACAGGGTCTTTTGTGACTGGCTTCTTTCACTTACCATAATGTTTTCAAGGTTCATCAGTGTATCTTTTATTGGTATTTCCTTCCTTTTTATGGCCCAGTAATACTCCATTATATGTTTATACACATTTTGTTTTTCCATTTATGTGTTGATGGACATTTGGGTTATTTCTATCTTTTGGCTGTTAGGAATAATGCTTCTGTGAACATGGGTGTGTAGATAGGTTATCTGCGTGGACGTGTTTTCAGTGCTCTTGGGTATATACCTAGGAGTGAAATTACTGGGTCAGATAGTAACTTTATGTTTAACTGCTCAAGGAACTGGCAGACTGTGTTTTCCAAAGCAGCTGCGCCATTTTAAATTCCCACCCGCAGCGTACGAGGGTTCCAAGTTTTCCATATCCTTGCCAGCATGTGTGTTAACGGCTTTTTGATTATAGCCATCCTCGTGAGCATGAAGTTGCGTCTCGTTATGGTCTCCATGTGCACTTTCCTGATGGCGGTGATGTGGGGCATCTTATCATGTGCTTCTTTGCCATTTGTGTGTCTTCTTTGGAGAAATAGCTATTCAGATCCTCTGCTCATTTTTCTATTTGGCTTATTTGTCTTTTTATTATTGAATTATAAGTGTTCCTTATGTATTCCAGGTACAAATACATTATCAGATGCTTGATTTACAAAAATTTTATTCCATTCTGTTATTTTCCTCACTTTCTTGATAATGCCTTTTGAAGCATAAAAGTCTGTTTTGTTGCTTGTGCTTATTTGTTTTTCTTCGTTTTTAAATAAGTAAATGAAATTCCTTCGAGGAAGCTTTGTTCTGTGAGGTGGGGCAGAATAAAACACTCAAAAATTCCAAGTTTTTTTCAAAATTTCTTTTTTAATGTTTGTTTATTTTTGAGAGAGAGAGTGAGACAGAGCATGAGCAGAGGAGGGCCAGAGAGAGAGAGGGAGACACAGAATCTGAAGCAGGCTTCAGGCTCTGAGCTGTTAGCACAGAGCCTGATGCAGGGCTCGAACCACAAACCGTGAGATCATGACCTGAGCCAAAGTCAGACAGACGCCTAACCAACTGAGCCACCCAGGTGCCCCCAAAATTCCAAGTTTTTAATTCTTCTTTAAAAATAGTATTTGAATGAGAGGAAGTATTTATACAGTTTTGAAATATGACCACAGTGAGTACTACGAAGTGTTGCAATACTGGATTAAAAAGACCCGGGTGCCTCGGTGGCAAAGTTGGTTAAGCATGTGATTCTTGATCTCAGCTCAGGTCTTGATCTCAGGGTCATGAGTTCAAGCCCCACATTGGGCTCTGCACTGGGCATGAAGCCTACTTTAAAAAAACAAACCCATTGAGCAGTCTGCCCCCTGTGGTCCCTGGGGCTGTGACTAAAGGAGGAAATCCAGATGAGAAGAGCTGGCTCAGTGATCTGATGATTTCTTTTTTTCCAAAATTCTTGTTAAGTTGTTTTATGTCACCTTTTCAGTGAAAGTAGTGATGAAAGGAATTACTAAGTGGTGGTTTATTGGTTTATTCAGTCTTGATTTTCCAAACTGGAAGCACTCTCTGCCTGCCTTCAAGCATGTTGCTTCAGTGGCTCTCACTCACGGACCATTTAATGTAGTTCAGTTCATTATGCTGAATGCTTTACACATCATCTTTCCAGTCCTTTCAGTTCACAGCATGATCCTGTGAGGTGTGTAGAATAATCCCCTTTTGAGGATGAGGCTAAAAGTGAGTGTGAGTTCTTTGCCCAGAGGTACTGAGTAGATGTGCCACACTTGAGCCACACTGCCAGCCCCCAGCTGAGCCACCGACCTGGCCACCTTGCCTCCTTGGGTGTATGGATGCCCTGCTGGAAGTCTAGAGGGCAGTGGGGCTGTCAGCGGTGAGCAGGAGCTTGGTATTTCAGCAGGATGAGGGAGGTGGTCCTCTGTCCTCTCCTGGAGAGTAGATTTGGAACCTCATTCATGCCTGATGGCCTTTGCTTTTGCTCCTAGCTACGAGGGCACTGGCCGGTCCCTGTCCCTCAAGCTGATTCAGCAGCTCCGTCAACAGAGCGCCCAGAGCCAGATCAGCACCACTGCTGAAAACAAGGCCACAGCGACAGCCAGACTGGCATCAGGTACCCCCAGAGCTCTGAATGGGCCCGTCCATGGCAGGTCCCCACAGATTCTCTTGCTGGATCATCTCCTCATGCCACCACAGGCAGTACCAAACTGTCATACTGTCAGGCACGAAGGCTGGGTCCCCAGGAAGGGGAATTGCTTTCCCCAAGGAATAGCAAGCCAGTGACCAGATGGGAGACTGACCCAGGCCTTCTGGGTTGGGCCCTTGTTTGTTACTGCCTTAGGGTACGGTCACATTGACTTAGATCCCTGTGGGATCAGTGTCATGGCAAATTGAACATCCCCCAGAATAGTTTAAAACCACTCAGTTAAAATCTTTAAGCTGTATTTATGTGGGCATCAGGTAACAAAGAGAAAGTGGAACATTTGCTTTGCTCTTTTAGACAAACACATTTAATAATTGTTTCTCATTGTGTGTGTGTGTGTGTGTGTGTGTGTGTGTGTGTTTTGTGGGGAGCAGCGCGAACGCTGCATGAGGTTTCCCTGCAGGAGTCCATCCGATACGCCCCCGGGGACGCGGTGGAGCAGTGGCTGAACGACTTGTTGTGCCTGGATTGCCTCAACATCCCCCGGATAGTCTCAGGCTGCCCCCTGCCTGAGGCCTGCGAGCTGTATCCTCCGGGTTCTGTGCCCAGTGAAGGGAGGGGGGTGATGGAAGAATTCGGTTTTGGCCCTTTGTTTCATAGGCTGCTGCTCGAAGGAGAGGGGGAAAGTTAGACATTCTCCATTTCCTTTCTTTTCCTTCCCTAATGTGTTCTGTGCAGGACACAGGGCTCTTCCTTCTAATCTGAGGGACATCTACATATCCAGGTTTCCCTTTGGAAGCAGTGTGTCCTATTTTGGGCTCTCTTTGGTTTGTTTTGGTTGCTTAACTCCAGACCCAGCTACTACGTTAACAGAGATACTCTCTTTTGCTACCACAAGGCCTCCGAAGTTTTCCTCCAAAGGCTTATGGCCCTCTATGTGGCTTCTCACTACAAGGTAACTGCAGCTGGCTGAAGTGGGTGAACTGCAGCTCTGACAGCCCCCCTTTACCGGCTTTCCATGTCTTGTATTCCCCAGTGGCTCAGGTGACTATTCTATTGGGACTTAAATGTCCTGATGTTGTCAAGGTCCACTGACTTTGCCGGAGGGATTGCATTTCCCATGGTTGTTCAGGCCTGTCTTGGGCTCCTAGCTTTGCACACGGAGTGTGGGATTCCTGCACGTAACTCCATACTTGGTGGGTGGGGAGGGTGGAAAGCTTTGCCTGTTTTAAAACGTGTTCTTCTATCTTTCCCTTGTCTGCTAATCAGATAGACTCAGATGATGTAGCAGCTGTTACCTGGTGGTGCTGACTGACCCAGCCCAGCCTTTTACCTCTGGGCTATTTTCAAACGTTTATTTTTGAGAGAGAGAGAGAGCATGCATGCACGCAAGTCGGGAAGGGGCAGAGAGAGAGGGGGATAGAGGATCCAAAGCGGGCTCTGTGCTAACAGCAGAGCCTGCCGTGGGACTCAGACTCACAAACCATGAGATCGTGACCTGAGCCGAAGTTGGACACTTAACCAACTGAGCCCCCCAGGACTCCCCGCCCCGGGCTATTCTTAAGGAGCACTGGATGCAAATTTAGAATATTTGAGAGTCTTCAAAACTAAAGGGCACATTGGGAAGGACATTTCTTGAGTATCTAGGTAGCATTTTTGTGAACACCCCTTAATGGGAGGCTGAAGAGTTGGTGCTAGAAGTGGTGATAGGTTTTCTTGAGATAGCCTCTTCTCTGGGAAGTGACAAGTTCACTCCCCCGCTGTGAACTACACAGTGCTAACTAGGCAGTCCTCTGCCCTCTGCAGCCTCAGCGCTCGTGGAGAGATGACAGCAAACATTTGAGGCGAAGTCCCACATAGGCCATCTCGGAGGGTCTCAGGCTGGCGGCCAAGATGCTGGAAAAGAGCTTCCCCAAGTTTCAGCTCGCCACTTGGCTTTGGGGAAGGTGGTGCTCCAGTCAGTGACTCCGGAGTGGCCTCTTGAGTAAAGGACAAGAGGAGTGGTTCTCATGGACCCGTATTTGTGCCCCACAGAACTCCCCCAACGATCTCCAGATGCTTTCTGATGCGCCTGCCCACCTTCTGTTCTGCCTCCTGCCCCCGGTGCCCCCCACCCAGAATGCCCTTCCCGAAGTGCTTGCTGTCATCCAGGTATGCTGGCATTCATTTGAAGAACCACTTAGGAATCAAGGATTAATGGCTCAGTAACTGTGGCCTGGGAGGGGGAGTGTTGATTCCTGGTGCGGAGCCAAGTAGCTGGGTCATCCGGGGCAGACAGTTAGGATGTGTGGAAGGGAACCACTGCCGACAGAAACCCAGAGCCCCACTGATGGGTGAATAGATGAAAGTCGGAACTGGCTGCTCGTATTTTGATTTACGGCTCCTCCTAAAACAGGATTTGTTTGTTTTGCTCTTATTACAAAAGCAACATGTGTACTTCTAAAATTAGAAAATACAGATGGAAACATGGGATCATAGTGTTTGGTAGTCTGGGTTTTTTTTTTTTTTTTGCAGTGTGTCAAATATTCATAATCTCTGTAGTTTTTATTTTTTTCATAATTTCTGTAGTTTTTAAAGGTTTTAAAGGCTGCATTATTTATGCACGTACCATACCGTGTATAACCATTCTCCTTTTAGACACTAGAGTCGTGAATTTGCACTATTTCATATAGAGCTGCATGAGCGTCCCGTGTCTTAATTGATGTTTGCACATGTGCACATTGTGTGGAGACCCTCTTCTAGTGTAGTTTCTGTGCTTTGGGCCAGAGTTTTTCTGTGTTCTACCTTGTTATGACAGTGTCCGGATGCTCCTGGGGCAGAGTAATGACTGTTCCACTGAAAATGGAAGTCAGTTACAGGGTGAAGCCGGAACTGGAATGGAAACAGCTGGCCTCGTCAGGGAACTAGCAGAATGCTGATGATCTGTGAGTGGGCTCTGTACCTGGGCTGGCCTTTCTGTCTACACCGTCCTGCTTCCCCCATAGGTGTGCCTGGAGGGGGAGATTTCTCGCCAGTCCATCTTGAACAGCCTGTCTCGAGGCAAGAAGGCTTCGGGGGACCTGATTCCATGGACCGTGTCCGAACAGGTGCTGCACTTTCCCTGGTATGGCTGAGTGAGTGAAGTTGGCGGTGTTGGAGGACTTTTTTGTTGCTCACGTACTGCCCTGTGTCTCCCACACAGTTCCAAGACCCAGACTTCGGTGGCCTTTCAGGTGGAAGGGTTGTTCGCATTGCTGTTCACCCGGATTATCAAGGGGTAATGTGTCCTCATGCTTCTCAAAACTCGATGCTTTATTAGCTGGGTTTGGAGCAGCTTGTGAGGGCAGGTGGATTTGGTGGTATGAATGGAAGGCTGGTCAAGGAATAAGCAGTTCCAGGAACTCCTCTGCCATGAACAGTTTTCCTGGGGCTGGGGGTGGCGAGTGGGCAGGATGATTGTATATGCTTGCTTTTCTTTTGTGAGGACAGAGCTCTTGTGAACCTGACCTACTTTTCACCGTTACCTCCTCTTAGAAATCCCCACTGCCGGGGTGCCTGGGTGGCTCAGTCGGTTAAGAGTCTGACTTCGGCTCAGGTCATGATCTCATGGTTTGTGGGTTCGAGCCCCATGTTGGGCTCTGTGCTGACAGCTTAGAGCCTGGAGCCTGCTTCATATTCTGTGTCTCCCTCTCTCTGTCCCTCCCCGGCTCACACTCTGTCTCTCACTCTCTCAAAAAATAAACAATAAAAAAAAAAAATTAAAAAAAAAAAGAAATCCCCACTGGGGAGTCCGTTGTGGAGATATCAGTTTGGGGCTTGCTAGTCTGTGGATCAGAAAGCCCAGCCAGCCATCCTCAGGCTCAGGCTAGATGGTGTGAGAGTGAGGGTCATAGCATGCTCACTCTTAAGGGTCTCTCTTCGGACCTCTTTGAGGGATTTCATTAATTCTCTTTGCCAAGTGTACTGTGACTCAGAGTGAAGGCTTTCTGGAAGGAGTTCAGGGACGTAGAGGTGATTTAGACAGATTGAGAACATTCTCTTCCTTGTCTGTCTCCCTCCATGTTTGCTCACAGATGGGCTACGGCAGCCGAGCTCTGCAGCTGCTGCAGATGTACTTTGAGGGCAGATTCCCTTGTCTCGAGGAAAAGGTCCTTGAGACGTCACAAGAAATTCGTACCGTCAGCAGCGAGGTAAGCATCTTTTGGCCGAACTCCTTGTTCCTGGAGGATAGTTCTCAGGAGCATCTAGAACTGTCCAGTGGTCTGGGCTGTCTGAGCACCAGCAGATTTCCTCCTGTTTTGGAGAAGCTCTTGCTTCTCCAGCTGCCACTGGTGTTGAGAACCTCAGATCAGCATTATCAGCATCACCTGGAAACCTGTTTTAAAAATGCTGGTTTTTAAGCCCTGCCCCCAGTCATGCTGACTCAGAGGGTCAGGAGTGGGGCCCAGCGGTTTGGGTCTCAGCTCCTAGGTAATGCCGCTGTGTGCTCCAGCTTACAGCCGCCCAGCACTGAGCCAGGTCTAAGGGAAGTTGTGTCTTTCTTGGTAAGGTGATAAACGCCAGGAACTGTGATGGCTTTTCACACACGTTCACTTGATTTTCACAGTAGCCCATTCAGGAGGTGGGGAAGGGCCTTATATTTAAGGTCCGGCTCAGCGGTTTGTTACTTCCCAAGTCCCAGACCCATCTGATGACAGAACTGGATCTTCGGAACCCCACCTCTGTCTCTCTTTAAATCACGTGGCTATTTTCCTGAATTCTGGGTTTGGAGCGGTGTGGTTTCATGCATGTCCAGGTGTTTGGTATACTTGGAAATGATCACTGGACTGAGTGGTGTGCCTCTATTTTAAAATCCAGGGAACAGAGAAATCTGTCCCAGTTTTTACTGTGTTTAGGTCAGAGCCTGGTATGGTAGGGGTGCTTGGGAATGTTACTAAGCTTCCTCTCCCTTTACTGGGTGGACTGTGTTCTCTTCCTGACGTCCTGTAGGCTGTCAGCTTGTTGGAAGAGGTCATCACTCCCCGGAAGGACTTGCCTCCCTTACTCCTCAAACTGAATGAGAGGCCTGCTGAGCGCTTGGATTACCTGGGTGTGTCCTATGGCTTGACCCCCAGGCTCCTCAAGTAAGGGTCTGCCTGCTCTTTCTTTTTCACATCACCCCGTGGCCTTGGTGTCCTGAAAATGAGCGTTCTGTGGACTGTGTTTGCCCTTCCAGCTGGTGTGTTTGTCGGTTCCGTTGACCACTCCCCCACCCCCACCCCTGCCCAGCCCTTCCCGTCTTCATCTGCCGGCCAGTCTCAGAAGGTGCGCACAGTGACCTGCTCTTTTTGTGTCTTGGCAGGTTCTGGAAGCGAGCTGGGTTTGTTCCTGTGTATCTGAGACAGACCCCGGTGAGTGAGATGGAGGAGGGGTGTGGGTTTGCAGTTACAGTTGGTGACAGGTCTGTCCTTATATGGAGCCCAGGTGCCTCTTGCTATGCTCTGAGCACGTGTGCCCTGCCTCCAAGAGGTTTATTCTGATGGACACCAAAACAGCCATCGCCACTTCAAGGCCATGCGATCACACACTTCGCTCCCCCGCTGTGTGGTGCACACTTGGTGTGTACCTGGCTTTGTGCTTGATTGTAAAATGGCAGAAGTGCGTGTGGACTCGTTCGTCAAATTCTGGAATCCTGCAGCCTGGGGGCCTCCTAGAATTTGTGAAAAGTGTAGCAGTGTCTTTAGGAGAGGCTTGCAGATGCGCAGCCTCAGGTATGTGAAGGAGGGATGTGATTACGTGGATGACCAAGCCATGGAGGATTATTATGGAAGGGAGAGAGTTACTGGGAGTTCATTAAAAAAAAGAATCTAGGGGCGCCTGGGTGGCGCAGTCGGTTAAGCGTCCGACTTCAGCCAGGTCACGATCTCGCGGTCCGCGAGTTTGAGCCCCGCGTCAGGCTCTGGGCTGATGGCTCGGAGCCTGGAGCCTGTTTCCGATTCTGTGTCTCCCTCTCTCTCTGCCCCTCCCCCGTTCATGCTCTGTCTCTGTCTGTCCCATAAATAAATAAAAACGTTGAAAAAAAAAATTTAAAAAAAAAAAAAAAAAAAGAATCTAGCACCTGCAATGAGTAAGGTAAGCCACAAAACTTGTTTTCTAATGGGTAGAATTAGGCAACAAGAAAGTGAAGAAATGAGAAGTTTTTTAGGTTATGCTATGTGCCGTGAAGAAAAAATTGGAAGTGTAGCGTACTGAGGGATCAGGCTTCTGAGGGGTGGCCTTTCCAACTGGACCCTGAGCATAATGCACTAGCCACATGAACGGTCCTAGAGAAAAAGGTGTTTCTTTTTTTGTTTGTTTTGTTTTGTTTTTAAATTTAGAGAGCCTGCAAGTGAGTGGGGGAGGGGCAGAGAGAGCAGGGAGAGAATCCCAAGCAGGCTCCTTGCTGTCAGCGCAGAGCCGGATGCGGGACTTGATCTTACAAACTGTGAGATTATGACCTGAGCTGAAATCAAGAGCCGGATGCTTAATTGACTGAGCCGCCCAGGCACCCTGAAAAATCTGTTTCTAAGCAACAAGTGCAGGGCCTGAGGTGGAAGTGAATCGGTGATTTGAAAGCGACAAAAGAAGGTTGGCGTGGGTCATTGGCTGGGGACTCTGTTTTCTTCCCTCCAGTTGGAGGAAGGTGTTCAGGAGCTGTGGCTGCTGTGTAGACAGTGGATGGTGGTGGCCCAAGAGTGGAGGCAAGGATGTGGGTGGATGAGAGATGGGGTATGGGCTGAGGAGGAAGCAGTGAAGATGGAGAGAAGTGGCCGAGGCCGGGCATGTTTGGGGGTGACACCGACTAGAACTGAAGGATTGGATTGCAAGATGAGCGAACCGAAAGAATCGAGGATAATTCTTAGGTTTTTGGCTTGAGAGTCAGTAAGAACTGGGAGATAGAGGTGTTATTTGCCGAGAAGAGCCGCTGGGGGAGGGACAGGTCTGGAGGTGACAGCGGGAATGCCCTGGCACAGTGGGAGATGCTTGTCAGATGCCCGATGGGGACAGAGACAAGCGGTGGCCTGCAGGAGTCTGGCACTCCAGGTAGAGGTTGGGGCCGGAGATGGACACTTGGGAGCGTATTCTCAAGAGAATATACTCCCCCGGGGTCAAGGACTTTGTTTTCTTCACAGCTGTAACCCTGGCACTTAATATCATCTACTACGTGTGGTATTGTGTTCAGTAAATATTTTTCAGTGAATGAGTACATTTTAAAAGTTATCGAAAGCTGGGACTGAAAGTCGACTGAGGGTGCGTCCTGGACTGTCCAGCCTTTGGAGGAATGAGTCAGGAGACGACAGAGTGGCCTTGAGGTGGAGGAGAAAGTTGGGGAGCATGTCAGAAGCCAGGATTAACCAGTGTTTTAAGAAAGGGACTCGGTGGCTTTCAGAGAGCAAGTAAGCTGAGGACAAATAAATGGTCAATGGACAATGGTGATTAGAAGGAAGGCAGCTCCTGGAGAGCTCAGGGCTCATCCTAACTGGAGAGAATGGAAAGTGAGGAAATAGATGATTCATATGGGAAGTAAAAGGGGCAGAGAAACAAGGTAGCTGCAAGGAGACTGGCATTCAGGGGAGTTTATCTGGTGGGAGATTCTAGAACATGGTTGTTTGCCGCAGGGTATGATTCTGTAGAGATCACACAAATCGTAGTATAGGTGACAGGGGCTGATTGCAGACCTCGAGGCAGGGGGAGTAGGACCCTGGGTGCAGGGGGTGAGGTGGCCACCTCATCCTTCACAGCAACAGGGAAGGCAGAAAGTTTGGGCACAGAAGGTGTGGGTCAGTTGGTTGGGTTGGTGCTGGGAGGATGAAGTTCTGTTTTCCCAGATGGGAGGCTGAGAGAAGGGGCATTGGAGGTTTGATTGTTTTGGAGTGCACAAAGCCCCCAGTTTCCACGGGCGGTGCCCATTTGAGAGTTTAAAGTGGGCCTGGTGAAGACCACTGGGTGTTCGGCTGTGGGCAGAGCAGCTCCCAGGTGGGCTGGGTCCTTGTCAGTGAGTGGGGCTGAGGCTGGGCTTAAATTTGCTGGTCGGCTGTGAGGTTTGTGCAGACCGTTGAGTTCAGCATAGACCACGGTTTATCCCTGTGCTCTTGTGCTGTGTGCCACTCATTTGTGACATGGTGTGGGTATTTTGCTATGTGAGTGCTCTTTGGTCAAAATCCAGTAGATGTTTCTATTGTGTGGGGTTTGTGGTTGTTATGTAATAAAAACGTAAAGACCTATGTTCACTATTTTAGCACCTAGAGAAACTTGCATTTGCAAGCTGGTTGCCAGTATGGGAACTCTAGGTTTGGGGCAGGGAGTTTTGTTGTAAGTTACCCAAAACCTGTTGATTGGATCATGTGGAGTTTAAGCTGTAATGACTCAGAGTTCAGAATCTGACCTGATGGCGTGCGAGTGGCTCACTTCCATGGGTCTGGAGCAGACCTTGAACCGCTCTGCTCCACTCCTGCGGCACCTGCTAGGAAGTCACAGAACTGAGGGGCCTCTGAAAGCTGTTATGCGGGAAATGAGGCTGTGTGGACGTGCAGGCAGTGCGTGGGGGGCTCTCCTAGCTGAGAGGAAGGAGATGCCTCTGGAAGCGCTGTGTCTTCCTGCCCTTCAACAATGACAGCTTCTTCAGAAAAGGGTGTTCTTGGTACCAAGTAGGCATTTGTGTTTCCAGAATGACCTGACTGGAGAACACTCGTGCATCATGCTGAAGACACTGACTGATGAGGATGAGGCTGACCAGGGAGCCTGGCTCCCGGCCTTTTGGAAAGGTAAATTAGAGTAGAAGGGAGACAGGTGACAGACAGGTGGCCCCCAGACCTCTGACTCTGTGCGGTTGTCCTCCACAGACTTCCGAAGGCGGTTCCTAGCCCTGCTGTCCTACCAGTTCGGCACCTTCTCGCCTCCCCTGGCTCTGAACATCATTCAGAACAGGAACATCGGGAAGCCAGCACAGCCAGGTGAGCCGCGCGGACTGGCGCAGAGGGCTGGTAGTGGCTTGGTTTTGTGGAGGCAGGAGGTGGGCGTGGTGGTCCAGGAAGGCTGGCTTAAGAATTGAGGGATGGGCCCTCAGCCTGCATCTCCCACTGACCCCCCCCTTCCTGCCTTTGCCCCAGCTGGCCCCGCTCTGCCTTAGGGGCACCTGCGCCCACAATACTTTCTATCTTTGTAACAAGACTTTGGGTGTTAAATAAGTTCATATAGCTAGTTAATTGTGGAACTTGATTTAAATTCTGTGAGCTAGAGTAACCAGCTTAATTCTCAGGCTCAGTGTCCTCATTCATGAAATTTGTAATAATATGTGCTCCTCCTCCTGTGGCTGACACATGGGAAGTGCTTTGACATGTAAATTCCATTGGAATATTTAAAATATTAAAAAGTAATGGATCATTAGTATTAATAGCTGTAGGTTTTTTCTGCTGCTGGGTATGTGTGTGTACCTTTTCTTTTTTCTTTTTTTTTTGCCAATTATATTTTAATGGAAAAATCTGTTTTCCTCAAACTGGGCAGAGCATACACACTTTCTGTGAAGCTGGGTCCTGAGGAGAAGTGGTAAAGTGGGGAAGGAGTGTTGTGCTCCTCTATCCCTGGGACGCTGGAGCCTTTCCTTGGTCTGATGGGCTGGCGTGGAACTCTGAGCAAGGGTGACATGCCAACCGTCCCCCCTCCCTGCGTGGCCTGAGGCCGCCTGCCCTTGGCAAGAGAAAGGTCAGGGCTGGCCCACAGGAGGCCCTGTGGAGGAGCAGCTGTTAGGGCGCCACCAGGGGACCGCTGTGTGTTACTTGGGAACCCCATCAAGCCTTGCAAGGACGTCCGGCTGCTCTAACGTGTCTGGCTCTGTTGCTTGGACAGCACTGTGCCGGGCCGAACTGGAAGCCCTCTTCCTCCCCTATGACCTGAAGAGGCTGGAGATGTACTCACGGAACATGGTGGACTATCATCTCATCATGGACCTGATCCCAGCCGTCTCCCGGATGTATTTCCTAAACCAGCTGGGGGACCTGTCCCTGTCTGCGGCCCAGTCAGTAGGTTATCTGCTCCTTGTGTGCCCATTCAGTTGGATGCTCTGATGTAATTTTGTGCATTTAATTCCTTACGGTTCTGATCGGTGGGTAGTGTTCTCCCCGTTTTACAGGTGGGGGGACACTTGGGCTCTGAAGTTGACTCACATGCCTGGCCATACAGTCAGAGGAAGAGCTGCGGTTTGAACCCACATTCTTCCCACCCCACCACATTGCCTTGATTCTAACTCTACCTTAGCAGAGGTTCAAGGGCACTGTGTAATTTAAAATGCAGCTGTGAAGCAGCTGTTTGTCAGGATAATCAGTTTGGGGATTTCAGGAGGAGGAAGCATTTCTTGGTGGTTTCAGTAACAGGGTGAAAGAGAAGATGCCAAAACAGACCATACCAGTCGATATTTTGTGGCAGATAGCTTTGGTCAAAAGAAAGTGACTGGTTCTCCGTGCCCTTTTAATGGGTAAGGTCCTGTCCTAGTGGCCACTCCAGCAAATTTTCCACCCTCCAGGCTCTTCTCTTAGGCATTGGCCTCCAGCACAAGTCTGTGGATCAGCTGGAAAAGGAGATTGAGCTGCCCTCAGGCCAGTTGATGGGACTTTTCAACCGGATCATCCGCAAAGTGGTGAAGGTAATGTCATCTGAAGGCAGGGTTTTGATCTGTTTCCGATAATTCAACAAACTCACTCCCTGCCCTAAAACAAATAGATGTTAACGTTTGGCCGTATTTGTTGCAGATCTTCTCACTCACTCACTCACTCACTCTTGCTCTCACACGAAGAAATAGGGGCCTTCAGCTCTATATGGAATGTTCCCGTGCTTTCTCCCAGGGGCGGCACTACTGTTAGGAATTTGCTATCTTCCAGTCTGTGTTTTTCTACTCTTACCATGAAGGGGTGCACTCTTGCCCATGTGAAGTGTGTGCTAAGTGACTCGGTAGTGAGTGACAGGGTCCCAGCTGCCGCTCCGCTTCATCTCTCGGCCGTTGTCTTGCAGCTATTTAATGAAGTGCAGGAGAGGGCCATTGAGGAGCAGATGGCGGCAGTGAAGGATGTGGTTATGGAGCCCACGATGAAGACCCTCAGTGATGACCTGGTAGGACCCGCTTAAAGCGTGGGAATGTCGGAGGCGCACCCGTCGCCCTGGGGGAGAGTCCTCCACCCTGATGCAGCGGAGTCCCCCTGGCCTGCGTGTGCTCATGCTCTCGCTCCCCGACGTGCGATGCCCCCTGAGTGCGTGCGTGCAGGCGGTCCAGCACTGCTACTGACAGCTTGTTTGTCCTTTCAGGCTTTTGCAAACACACATTTGATATTCTTTTAGTAAGAGCTGCCTCTGATGGCGGGGAAGGGGGTGAACCGAGGAGAAGGAGCTGTCTGCTCTCATAGTGATACCGTGCCCTCTTTTTCTGTCATTTGTCCTCTGCTCGCCTCTGACCTGCTCTGTCTCTGGGGCTTTGACCGCAGGATGAAGCAGCAAAGGAATTCCAGGAGAAACACAAGAAAGAAGTGGGGAAGCTGAAGAACATGGACCTCTCTCAGTAAGGCCCCCGCACCACTCATGGGGATTGGAGGCTCCGCCTTGGCCTTGAGGACCCTGGGGACCTGTCTGCAGCTCCCTTCTGATCCACATCCGGGTGCCCTGGCAGCTGTCACATGGCACCATTTTAGAAGCCAAACAGCTAAAACCTCTCTAACTCACTCTGCATATTTTGAGGATTTTCCCTCAGGTCCCCAGGGAGGGGTGCTAATTGATGAACATCCATTTTCTTTTTTTTTTTTTTATTTAAAAAAAAAATTTTTTTTTTAACATTTATTTTTGAGACAGAGAGAGACAGAGTGGCCAGGGAGGGGCAGAGAGAGAGGAGGAGCACAGACTGGGCAGGCTCCAGGCTCTGAGCCATCAGCCCAGAGCCTGACGCTGGGCTTGAACTCACGGACCGATCATGACCTGAGTCAAGTCGACGCCTTCAACCGACTGAGCCACCCAGGCGCCCCAATGAACATCCATTTTCAATGGCTGCTTTTCTCTGTTTGGCTTTTACATGTAAACTTGATTCAAGAAAGGATTCTACTGCCTACAACTAAACCAAAACCCCTTGTTCTGGAACCTCAACTAGGGACGTAGTCCCCTGAGCTTCAGCTGTAACGGTGTCATCTGCTCTGTGGGTTGATGTAAATGAGGTTTCTAGAATTAGTGGCCTCTGAGCTTCGTTGACCTGTAGCCCCCTGACTGAGTCCTTTAGAAATGGTGGTTGTTGGACACATGAGATGGAGTGGAGGTCCCCAAGGGTTTGGAGTTTTCCCCCTCAATTCACAAAACCCTGACTTGCTGGGGCTGCTGGCTTGAGAGAGGTATGCAGGGCAGGAGGCACGATTCCAGGGCCTGTGGGCACCATGCCTCTTGAGGTGGGAGTGAGCAAGATGCTTGTGGGGCCATAGGAGGCTCCCCCTGCTGGACAGTTAGTGAGAGTATGACTCCTGGCAGGCCTTGTGGCCCTCCTTGCTCCCATGAAGCCCCCTAGTGTGCAAGTGCCCCTTCCCTCTACCGTTCACGCTGGTGCGGCTGGCCGGGCCTTTGTGATGGGCCATGTCTGCTGAGAATGTTGTCACTGTCTTCTTTTGAGCAGGCTTTGAGATTTCCTTTTTTTTTTTTTTTTTTAGATACATAATCCGTGGAGATGATGAAGAATGGAATGAAGTTTTGAACAAAGCTGGGGAGAATGCCTCCATTGTCAGCCTGAAGAGGTGAGGGCCCAACAGACTTCTGGCAGGAGAGGCTTTCTGGTCTCTCAGCTCCTCTAGTGACTTTCATTAGGAAATAGGAGGTCGAAGCAAAAGCTTTGAGGGACAAAATCACTACTCTTTCCTTGAGGGTAGCTCCTTTGGTATCGTATTTCCTACAGATGAGGCAGGGCCATGGGGCTCTTGTGGGCATCAGTGTGGTGTCCTGTGCACCCTCACAACGACGGTGGCTGCTTTATTACCAGCACTGCTCTAAAAATGAAGTGACTGAGGCTCCAGGGTATTAAGTAAATTCCCAAGAAGCATCCAGCCAGTAAGAGGCTGAGCCGGGGTCAGGACCAGGTGTGTCCACTGCTGAGGCTGGAGTTTTACCTGCTATATTCCCCTTGCTTGAAGCTGGTGATTCCCCAAGTCTTGGGTCTTAGAGTTCCTTTGCATCATAAAAATTGAGGGCCCCCAAGGGACTTTTGTTTATGAGGGTTATATCTATCAATATTTTCCATGTTAGAAGTAAACTGAGATGTTAAAAAATTCATCCAGAATTAACAATCGTGGACTCATTATGGTTTTGTTGTTTAGAAAAATAGCCTTTGCCCACAAAAATCTTAAGAGTGGCGTTGTTTTACATTTACATTTTGCAAACGCTGTCTGGGTTAATAGACAGCAGCTGACTCCTCTGCTTCTGCGTTCATTCTGGTGCCATCGCACACCTCGTAGCTTTTGGAAGACTGGACAGCTATGAGAGTGAAAGTGAGGGGCAGACAGTGTGTTTGTATTGTTGTGAAAACAGTTTCCCCCTTGGGGCCCACCTGAAAGAGTTGGGGATCCCAGGAGGCCCTGCTTGAAAACCTCCCCCTCCAGCTGCTTCTCTGCAGAGGGGGGCATTTGTAGATCATGGCTTCTCGGGCCTGAACCTATATTGGAGTTCCTGGGGAGGAGAATGAAGTTTCCCCTGCCCTCGGCCTCTGGAGATGAACTTCCACAGCTGGTTTGGAGTTAGTGGGGAGGTGAGTTCTTGGCGTTGCCATAGGATAGGTTCCCTTGAGGGATAAATTTGGAAAGAAGTCTTGTGACTCTAGGAACTAGAGATCCCAGAAATCAGATACTGTCTCCTGCAGTCTCCATAAAGTTACTGTGGCATTTTGAAGGTTCCAGCAGTGCTGCCAACCTCAATCCCCGGATGCTCTCAGATGTGGCACGAGAGCTCACTATCATCGTGTCCTAGTTTCTGGTTTGGTCAGGATAGCAGATGACGCACAGGGCCTGTGATGGCTCTGGCCTTGAGCATGGTGGCTTTGACTGGAACAAAAGGCTGGGGCGTGTGCTTGGTGTGGACCCCACTGGTTCCACGTCCCTCGGAGCTTGGCTTTTTCTGCCGTTTGGCTGTGTCACTGCTGGTGAGGAGCCTCCTGCTTTCACTGGCCTCTGTGGCAAATCTGCTTGAAGTTCTCTGAGTCAGTTCTACTCTTGGAGATAAAAACACTGATACCTGTCATCGTATTCTTTGAGGCCTTGCTTTTCTTTTTTGAGAGGTCATTTCATTCAGGTGATGGTAGTGTTCTGTGGATGGAACTGTTTGCTTTCTCGTCATAGGGAGGTGTTTGTTCCCAGGACAAAATGCCACTGGAGAGAATCTTTAACCTGTAAAAGGGAAGGAAGGCGGTAGTCCTTTGCCGAATGACTCCAGTACTAAGCTGTCAGCGAGGCCGCCCCTGGCCAGCTGAAACGTGTAACCTGAGTTCCTACTCCTTTCGGTTTCTCTCTCATTTAGGAAAAATAAAATACTACCACGCTGGAAAGTATTACAGGGTGTTCTTGGGAGAGTCCTGCTTTGTATTAGAGACTATCCACAGGGTCCGTGGGATAATATGTCTGCTTTTGAGTGGTGGGAGGGGAGAATGAACAGCAATCCAAAGGGAATTCAGATTTCAGGTGTTAAGAGAGATTTATTCCTCCAAGGAAGAGCCCGGTCAGGGCAGGAACTGGTCGGCATGTTCCCCCCAGCACAGTGTCTGGCGTGCAGGTAGGCTTGCAGAGAACATTTCTGTCTCATTAATGTTTCAGATGGTGAAAACCCGTTTTCAGACAAAGCAAAGCAAGCCTGAAGCAAAGCAGTCTCAAAGATGTTACAGATCTGTGCATATTTCATTTTCTCTTTCTATTTGTGGGTTTTTTGTTTTTTTTTTTTGGTCTCTCTAGTGACAAGAAAAGGAAGCTGGAAGCCAAACAAGAACCCAAACAGAACAAAAAGTTGAAGAAAAACAGAGACATGAAGAATAAAAAAGATATGAAACTGAAGCGGAAGAAATAGGAAGGTGGGCATCCGTGGCTGACGCGTAAGGAGAGGAGTCTGACGTGCTGAGCTGTCTCTGGCTGGACCGGGTGGAGGCCTGGATGTTAAAAGCAACGAAGTCCCCATCAGACCCGGAAGCTGCCCAGGAGTTCAGTCCGTGGGCCAAGCTTGGCTTAAGGCGACGTCCCTTCTGTGCTGGTCCGCTTAGAACTGGACGGTTGGACAAACCTCTGGTGCTGCTGAGGGCCTGCCTCCCCTCCCCCTGTCCAGGTCTTTTTCCCCCCATAAGTTCACACTTTGCTCTGGGCCCAGCTGTTTTGGCCCCTTCCCACCTGTTGGAGCCACGCTGACTCTTGTCCCTTCTCAGACATTAAATGCACAACCTTCTGGTGATGCTCAGGAGGCCCCTGATGGAGCCCTGGGCCTCTCGTCGTGGCCTAGAGTAGCAGGAGCTCTGGTCCAACCACGTGGCCGCGGCAGGTCACTGTTCTGTGCGCTGGGCTTTGCTCTGCCGTGAAGCATTCCTCTCCTGGCTCCGCAGGCCTGCTGCCCTGTGTCCTTGGAGAGCTTGAGCTCTTCATTTAGGAAAAGACTATGACATTGAGTCCCCAGATCTGTTATTTCATCTATTTGGGAAAAAATGTGCAAGACCATTTTGCTAGCAGGGGTAAGGGAGGGATAGAGAATCTATTTTTAATAAATAACAAGCTAGAAAGACCAACCGCCTGTGGGTGCTCATTGACCCCGTGTGGGTGGGAGTGGTGCCTTGCCTTGTTTCTCCTGGTGGGGCTTGGCTGCCCGGTAATCTCCGGAAGGAGTTGGTACTGAGGCCGAGGGCGAGCAGGGGCCAGGGCTTACCGATGACCCAAAAGCCTTTGGGAGAGTGGCCGGCACCCACTGTGCTCACTGTGGTCCCTCTGAGGGACATGCTGTGGTTCCGGGAAGCTAGCTAGCTGTGCGTTTCCTCCAAGCTTCTGTCAGGTCATCGGGTCCCTTCTGTTGGGTACAGGAATTGTGTGGTGACTTCACGCATACTTTGGTATGCTGTTTCACGGTATCTACTTTCTGGTTCTAAACCCAGTACTGTGTATTGAAACCTTGACCCTGAGGGCTTCTGCTGGTTTCTGTAGGATTGTTCCTTATCCCTGTCGCTGAGGGTGAGAAATGCTCAAGGTGGAAGTCGGCTCAGTCGTGCTCTTGTTCTGATCTGCTGTCTCCCTGTGCGCTGCGGCTCCCTGGCTGTGTCAGCCTCGAGCTTTGGTTACTGATCCTCCTCAGATTTTCATAGAACTTAAAAGGACTGGTCTTCCATGAGTCCAAAGACCCTTTCCTCAGCGAAAGGTGTGTAATCCAGCTTCCTGGAAGGGGAACTTCTGGACCAGAGGATTAAATGTACACCTCCCAGGACTCACACCCACAGCAAGGAGAGCAAATTCGGCCTGGACTGGTGACCCCTGCACCTTGCCTACATAGGTTTAGGGGTCTTTCGTCTCCTGGATCCACAGGTTCCTGTCCACAGACCCCCTGTTAGGCCAGCAGGAGAGTTCAATGAGCGGGGCAACGAGAATTTTTGATCTGCTTGTTTTTCAGGTGAGTGCCCGAGCCTATCTTCCAAAGGATTTTCTTAGGAGAGTGACTTTTTTTTATATGAAATTTATTGTCAAATTGGTTTCCATACAACACCCAGTGCTCATCCCAAAAGATGCCCTCTTCAATACCCATCACACACACCCCCCTCCCTCCCACCCCCCATCAACCCTCAGTTTGTTCTCAGTTTTTAAGAGTCTCTTATGCTTTGGCTCTCACCCACTCTAACCTCTTTTTTTTTTTTTTCCTTCCCCTCCCGCATGGGTTTCTGTTAAGTTTCTCAGAGAGTGACTTAAAATCAAAGTCGGAATCCCAAGTGGTCATAGCTGGATGGTTTCTTAAAACTATTGTCTTAAGCCATGTCTTCCCATGCGTATGGGGGCCCAGATCGGCCGAGCCCTTGCATGGCACCTCCCACCCCGAAGCCTGACTTCTGCTCTGCTCCAGGATGCAGGGAGAGGTGCTCTGATGTCAGACCTCCGGGCTGCAACACTGTTCTGCCCTGAGCCCCACTGTGACCTTGGGCACGCCACTTTCCCTCCACCTGCTGTCCGGGCCCACATCTGTGAGACGCAAGTGGTAATGACCATTCCCACCTCATGCACCGTTGTGAGGAGCGAGTGGAGCCGAGTGTGAAGAGCGGACAGTGGGGCCTGGTGTATGGCAAGTGCTCTAGAAGTCTCTGGGTTGTGTGGCCTGCATCTGCATAACCAGGGGAGCTGCTCAGTGACACGCAAGCTTAGTAAGACTTAGTAAGACTGGCTTTGTTCTAAAACAACCTAAGCTGAAGAGCCCCACTTGGGGGGCAGATGATGCACTTTGTGGTCAGACCTGTCCGTTTCTGTGGCTTCCAACAAGGTCATTCTTCTCGGAGACAGCCTTCCCCTTTGCACACAAAGAGGAAGTGAACATTGTGCCTTGGCCCTTTTATTTGCAAAGGATATGTTCTTACACAGGTCCCTGTACTTTGTGATCTTGGGTTCCCCTCCAAACTTGAAAAAGCACACCTCCCCCAGACCTCACCATCTGGCCCCCAGACAGTGACATCTGTAAAGCTAGGCTGTCTCAGGAAATCTCATTGGTGAAATGAATTCAGATAGGCTGGCTAGGAATGCTGTCACCAGGATGGGAACGGGGCTGAAGAAGCCTGAACAAAGAAGATTCCTAAATGGTCTCCATCCTCCTGAGCTGGGAGGGGGTTAATGCTGGCCTAGTGCTTCCACTGCTCATCTGGCCCCGGCAGTCCCCAAGGACTCCAGAGTGACCGGGAGGTGGACACAAAGGCATTGTTGAGATGGGGGGGAGGGGAGAAAATAAGTGATCGCCACCTTGGAAAAATGTAGACTCATTATCTGAGGGCCTTGAACACCAGCAACCAGTTTGCAGGCCTGGAGGAGGGGCGGGGCTGCAATCCCTCTGGCCTGAATGGGAGGGTCAGACATCAGCCTTGGAAGAAGCAGATGCCCCTTTCTGTAAACAGGTTGGTTAAAGGAGAAATGTCCTGTGGAGTTTGCAGCGGGTGGGGTGGCAGGAAAGGGAAGGCCTGAGGGTCTCCTACGGGGCTGTAGGTGGTTCAGCTGAGGAAAAAGTTTCCATGCTCTTGGTGTCTGGCTGTCATTGGGCAACGAGCAGAGAGCAAAGGAAAGGGAAGAGCAGGAGCAGGAATGCGGGGGACCCTCACGCCTGGAGGAGTTTCCTGTGGGGACGAGGCCCAGGCTCCAGATGCCGAGTGCTAGCCTCTTCTTGCCTGCGGGGCGGCTGGAGAATGCAGTCCCACTGTACAGAACTGATGCTCTTGGCCCCTTGTTTCCCAGGGACTCCTGTGAAGAAGTTCACCTTCCTCTCCTCCAGCCTGCCTTTGGCTGCTGTTAGCTGAAGCGGACAGCTGGAGGAGAGAGGCCCCCGTGCTCTGGAGCGGTGGCCCCGAGGAGGCGGCCCAGCCACCAGGGGTAAGGTCACTTCTAGCCCCAGTTTCTGTGATTGAAGCGCTTCCTTAGTGTGCTCTGCTACACGTAGGCTCAAAGGGGACCCATCCCTCCCTAACGTGGCCTTCTCTTTGACCTGCCCCCGAAAGAGAAAATGGCTGAGCTCCCTGGGTACTTGACGGAGGTGCATCCTACAGGGGGGAAGGAGGGGACAGACTTGTGGGGAAGGTGGACACAGACACCTGAAGGGTAGTTACTGCAGATGGTAAGTGCCGGGCAGGGACAACCCCCGTCCTCCCTCCCAAGGGCCTCTGCCCAGAATGATGGTGCCAAGGGGTGCGCCTCCTCCCTGTGGCCCCCAGAGGGCGCTGTGGGCCCACGCAGTCCTCTCACCACCGGTGCCAGGGCCCCATGCCACAAAGCTGGTCATCAGGCCTTTCGCAGACCAACCCCAACTGACCCCATGAGGTCTTCATGTTGTCCCCCAACTCCTGAGTTCTGGCCTATCAGTTACTGAACCACAGCACTTGGGTCCATGTTTCTAGTGACCTTAGAAATTTTTTTTCCTGCGTCAGGTACCAAACATTTTTAAAAAAACCTTTATTTCTTCCTGGACTTTGTACCTAAAACAAACTACAGCTGGTCCCAGAAGACCTCTGGACCCCAGTCGCCAGCTTACTGTTCTTCCTCTATTACCAGGTGGCAAACACCCTGCCTCCACCTTGCTGGGCCACACAGGCTTAGACTGTCCAAAGTTTGCAAACAACTGTTAACCCCAACAACAGCTCCCACGTGAGGGCCGTGGGGGTGGTGTGGGCTCAGGGGAGACCAGAAAAGCCCCTGCAGCCATCGTATTCCTGTCTGTGGGCTCCAGTCCCTCCACACAAACACCTTTTCCGTCCTGATCAATGGCACATGTACTCAACACACGGGAATGATTTTCTCTTAGCTACTTCATTTGATGGAGGAGGAACACCAGAGCCCGGTGTTGGGGGACGGATGGAGGCTCAAGTCCTGGGTGAGGTGAGTAGGGGGTAGCCTCAACCCGGCTTTTGGCAGGAAGCCTGAGTAACCAGAGAATTAGCTCTGGGTTCTCTTCCTGGTCCTAAATGGGCTCTTCTCCAGCTCTGAGCAACCCTCTATCAGGAGTGATGAGACCAAGGTCATTGTTAACAAGTGTTTATTGTTAATAAAACCATGGTACATTTACAATAAGTGACAACATTAATGTATAGTTACAGTATCATACAATATTACAGCAATAAAATAACGCCTATTCCTTTGTACATCCAGCTCAAGCAGCTAGTCGAAAATATTTTCCAAGATTGCAAGCCCCCAAGGGCTTTTCAAGGTAACCAAAGTAACACCTCCTTAAGTGCCCAGGGCTTTTGGTGAATAAATAGTTTCTAAGGTGCAGCCAGACAGCCTGAAGAAGGCTACACCCGGAGCAAGCTGTCCGGAATGCTCCCTCAGTGTCTGGTCCATAAATATGACAAGTGTCCAGCCCGATGCTGCCCCTCCACCTAGGGAAGCCCGGGGCCTACAGCAGGCCCGGAGCAGGTAGGTGAGAAGCAGCAGGCCTTCTCCCGCCCCTTCCCTCCCACCACTGCCCCACCCTTTCTACCCCCAGGACCGCAGTTCCCAGTGAGAGGTGCCCCTCTCCAGCCCAAGTCGGAGGACTCAGCCAGGGGTACATTTAGGGGTCTGCTTCCTGAGCCCACAGAGGCAGCCTAAATCTAGGCTTGGGGTTTCAGAATGGGCCCCTAAAAACAGCAGCAGCATGGGCTGAGGCCCCCGGACTCCTCCATGCCACCCTGTGCTTAGACTGAAAGCTCTGAAGGCATCAGTTGGGGAACTGCTCTACCACTAACCGAGCAGGTTTGTGGTCCCCAAAGGAGGGCCTCTGTCGGCCTAGACACCAAAGAGAATAGGACTGAGTGACCCTCTGTGCCCCCTGGAGGCTCACATCAAGCCTTTGAAGGCACAGCCTTGAGGAATAAGTTCAGGGATTTGGACAGCCTTTCTGACGTGATGTTGAGAAAAAAATACCGCTTCTGCATGAAGGGGCCTGAGGCCCAGAGTATACATTCTCTACATTCATCAGGATGCCTGTACCTCCAGGAGCCCCAGCTGGGACCGTCCGAGCTTATGGAGGCGTGGGGACTGCGGGTAGTTAGCTTCTGACCATGCCTTCCAGGCCCTATTTCAAGCGGGAAGAATCAGGATCAGCCATAGATCTCCAGGAGGGGAGCACAAGAGGGTGAGTACACGGCAGCCCTCAAGGTGCAAACGGTATGGGGGTTGCAGGTGGGGGAAGGGCCACCTTTTGACCTTGTCTGCCCATAACTAGTCAAGCAGACACAGCTTGGGGGCAGAGGGTTGAAGGTGGGGCTGCCCAGTGACAGGAGGGCTCAGAGCACATCTACCTGTGCAAGGACAGATCACCACCAGAGGGGAGGTCTGGGGAAAGAGGGGGAAACTGAGTCCCATGAGCCTGGCTCCAGGAGGGCCTCAGCCAGCGCCCTGGCCCCCTCCATGGGGCAACGACCCATCCACAGACCCTGGCTACATACTCGTTCAGATGGCCCGGAAGCACTTGCTCCCAGCCTTTCACACCCGCTGGGATGCCTAGAGACAGAGCCCTGGCCCAGAGGGGGCTGGGTGTGCCGACCTGTGTGCGCCCAGCCCCCTCACACCCGGGAGGTGATGTAGACGGAGTGCACGCGCTCGGCCAGGGTACTCTGCAGGTCCTGCAGCGGGTCCAGGCCCTGCACTTTGCTGTTGCGGCCGTAGATGAGCTGCCGGAAGGAGTCCTGCTCCAGCAGGGCCTTCATGTGCTTGAGGAAGAAGCCTTCACAGAACAGGGCCAGTTCAGGGGCATTGTGGATCTGTGGGGGGCGGGGGTGAGACCCACAACCTTAGCATGACCCCGGCACAGCCCCACCCGAAACCACCCTCCACTCTCCCCCAAATATTACCCATGGGCCAAGGCCCAGCACAGGCCTTGGCACCCCCTGACCTGGACTCCGTCCATAAGCATCACCTCCAGGTTGGACTAATCTGGGCTCAAATCCCAGCTGTGCCACCAGAAACATCACTTGTTCTTGGCCCCAGCGTTTTCTTTGCCTACTTCCCACTGCTGCCATCATTGAATGGCAGTCATCCTTGCTGGGGCAGAAGCTCCCTTACTAATGGCAGGGTCAGGGAGACGGCACGAGGCCCGGCAACTGAGCCGGTAGGTGCTCAGTAACTATTTCAACTCCAGAAATATCAAGTGTCCGCTCTGAGCCAGGCAGTGGGCACCAGGTTCTGAGGTCCAGGTCTCTGCAGTGTGCTCTTAGAGCTGATGTTCTCCTTCGGGGAGACAGAAACCAGAGGACCAAGCAAAGTAACGGCAGATGGAGGTCAGTGCTGTGAGGAAGCACGGGCAGGTGATGGCCGTGTGGCAGGGGCCTTATGGGAGAGGGGGGGAAATCAGCGGGCTTTGTGAGGTGCTCCAGAAGGTGCTTTCCTGGAGGTGGGGATGGTTATCACAAGAGACCCAGGGGAGGTGGGAGCGGAGAACGAGCCAGGGCACTGGGTGAAGGGAGAGGTGGGTGGGGTGCTAGGGGCTTGGTGAAGCATGATATTTAGTCTGCAAGCGGAGGAAGCTTTGGGGGAGGGGAGGCGTTAAGTAGAGGAGTGACATGGTCCTAACGCTTTTCAAAAAGCCTGTGGACTACGGGGTGAAAGCCAAAAAGGGAGAGGCTGGGCCAGTGCCATGGTCCAGAGAGGGGGCGGGAGAGGCCCAGCGGACAGACTGTCGATGTGTTCACAAGAGCTGACCTAAATGAGGGAAACTAAAAAAGATTTACATATATATGAAGTATATAAAATTCTCATGTTTTGAGTCTAGGCACCTGAGCAGAGGGCCATGCTGTTGCTAAGGAAGGGGAAGATTCAGGAGGACAGGTTGGGGAAGAATCAGGTCAGAACCTGGGGAAGTGATGGGGCTCAGAGAAGCTCAGCCTTTTGCCCCAGGCACCCCCAGCCTGGTGGGGCACAGCTAGAATGTGAACTGGGATCTGCTTGGCTGGAAAGCTCTTCCCCGAGCTACATGCTGCTGAACAGCGATGACCCCAGACTCCAGAGAGCATTCCTGCCCCCCTCCAGTCCTCACACTGCCCCGCAAGTACTGCCCAGCTGCCTCTGTTTCTTAGCCAGGCCCCAGCGGGTCCTCACCTTGGCGTACTTGTACGTGTTCACGGCGCTCTCCACGCTGAGGGTCTGGGAGCACAGGATCTCGCAGTGCCTCTGTAGGGCATCCAGCTGGAACAAGCTGGCGGCTGACAGCAGCTGTGGGGGGGCGCGGAGGGAGGCAAAAGGCGGCCTTGGATGGGGGCAGCCAGGCCTGTGGCCCAGGCATCACGGAACAGAAAGCTGCTTCGTGCAGTGGGCCCTATGTTCTAATCCTCGGGCCCTGCCTGCCTCAGCAGGTAAAGTCTGAGGATGGATTTATTTCTGTTCTAGAGCACCTCGGTATTTGCTGGGACACCTTGGAAGGCACAGGATGGGTGACAGACACTGGTTGGGATTCCTGACCTCACAGAAGATCTTCAATCATAAGCTGCATGCTTTGTCTACACCACCTTCTACCCAGGTGCCTGGCCGGCAGGGGCTCTGTTTTCTAAGTGCGAGGAGGTGAGTGGGAGGCCCTGCTGCCTGCCTTTGATCCTCCTGGGCCCATTATCCCTACAGGGGAGCCTTTCCAGCCCCCACCCCCACCCCAGGCATGGCCCAGGAGGTGGTGGGCACCCAGTTCCCTGTCACAAGAAGAGAAAGGACCAGCAGGGAATCAGAAGGTCCTTGAAGAGGCCACCTCCCCTCCTTGGCTCTCCAATGCCATGTCTCTGAGCGCGGGGTTGAGAGCCAGCAGCCGGGCATTGGGTGCACCGGCTCCCACGCCCTTCCCAGCACCAGGACCTCACCTCCAGGATGTCGGAGGCCGGGATGTCCATGGCTTCTGTTCCTCCGTAGTACAAATACTGCATCATCATCTGCAGCGGGAAGAGGCCCCGCATGAACACCAAATGGCCCCGCGGCACCCACGTCCTCTGGCTTCACCAGAGTGCCGCTCTCCGCCCTGGGCCTGGCTGCGCCCTCCACCCTCTCCATGTGGATGCGTGCACATCCCCACTCACTGAAGCGGATATTTTGTGCAGTCTCTACAGGTCAGCCCCGAGACTCTCCCTCTTGATTTCCTGTATATACGACAAGCTTCCCTCTACGGGATGGTTTCACCCTCAACCTCATGACAGCCCCGTGAGCCCAGAAGGGAAGGTGCTGTTCACAGATGGGGAAACTGAGGCCCCAGGAGGGAAGGCAGCATGGCTCAAGTCACTCAGGTCTTCTGACTCCCACACCAGACTCTAAGCAGCACAATGCTCATTTCTCCTCTTACCTAAATTCTAAATAGGGGCCTACCCTCAGAAGCTGCTTCCAACTTTCCCGGCTGTGCTAGAACTCCAGCGTGGAGGTGAGAGCCAGACCCTGTCTGCCCCCTGGATTTGTTCCCTTGGACAGCAAGCTCAGAGCTGGGGTCGGGTCGGGTCTGGTCCAGAGGTCACCTCGTTGCCTGGCCCAGACCTGGGGCTTGTGGGAACAGAGGGCCTGGGATATCAAATGAGGTGGCCTAGGACTGGGGAACTCCATTTAATTTCACTGTGGTCTGTCACAAACTCTGCCATCACGCTGGAGCCTGGGAGGTTCCCAGTTGGAAAAAGAAAAATGATTCTCCCCGGTTGGCTGCAGAAACAGCCCCAGCAAGGAGCTGGCAAGTGTGTAAGTAAACACGACTCCGGCCGACACAGTCGGGCTCTGTTAGGAGCCGGCCCCCGGGCTGGAAGAGGCACCAGAGGGTCTAGGAAGCAGCCCAACCCTGGGGGAGAAGAGTGGGGAGATGGCTAGTCTGTCCAGGCTGAGGTCAGTCCCCGGAGACTGTCCCTCCCCACAGAGCGGGGGGCGGGGGAGGCTCCCTCGGTCCAGCAGCCCCTGCTGGAGCACAGATGGAGGTGTCTGTCCTTCCAGGAGGTTGTGCGCCTCAGGTGCCGTCCCCTGTGCTGGGCACAGAGTGGCTGTTTGGGACACCGGCAGGACTGCCTTGGATGATCCAGTGCTGGGAGTGGAGCAGGTGGGGGGATGGGGGGTAGGATCTCCTAGGCTTGTTTGCTAAGGGGTGGCCTCAGGCCAGCCCCTCAGCAAGAAGGGGCCTGGGGGTGTGGGCCGTGAGATGGGCCGGAGTCCTGCAGCTCTCCTTCCCAGGCCCCATGGCTTGGGAGCTGGTTCGACAAGGCCCAGCCACCTGTGGCCTGTGGATCTCCCTGAAGTCCCTTAAATGGATATTAGTCTGTGGAAGCCAGAGCTGAACCGCTCCCTGGGAACCTTGCTGCGGGAGGCGGGTGGCCAGCAGGCAGAGATGGGTTGACTGTGTGCAGCCCAGCAGCCCGAGGGTCCAGACAGGCTGCTCTGGGAAAGGCCCCAGGCAGCGTCAGCTACAGAGGGGGTGGCAGAGTCTCCTTCCGTCCCGGACAGGACCCCAGGAACCTGACTCCAGGAGGCTGCAGATACTGCCGGGACAAGACTGGGGTCAGAAGCCAGGTAAGACCAGCCGGTCCTCAAAGGCCCGGGTGGGGTCGTCGGCAGTGACCTTGGCAAGATCTAGGCTGGCCCTAACACTATAGCCGCTGACCACATCTAGCTTTTAAGTATTTGGAATAAGACTGGTCTGAATTGAGATGTCAAAAACACACTGGATTTCAAATGCTTATGTTTTACATTCTTGGTATGAAAATACAGTTGCTAATTTTTACATTGATCACATGTAATATTTTGGCTACCATGGGTTTAATATATTATTAATTTCACTCCATCTCCTGCTTTTTTATGTGGCTACTAGGAAATGTTAAATTACATATGTGTCTTGCATTATCTTTCTCTTGGATGGCATAGCCCAGATCTCCTTGGGCCTGTTTCCTCCTCTGAAAAACAAACCTAATGAACCCCTTCCCCCACCTGCCCTCATTCCCTCCCAGTGCTGTGAAAGCCAGGGAGATACTGTGGGGCTGAAACTTCCAGCTTTGTTAGGAAACCCTGGTCCCGGATCGAAGCCCGGAAAGCAGAGGTCAGCATCTGGATGCTCTATCTGAGATGGCACTCCCCCACGTGGCAGAATTCTATAGCCAGAGAGCCCACATTTCCCAGGTCTGCGTGTGCCACGGATGTTAGACCCGATGTTCCTGTTTACCCTCCCAACAGCCCCGAGAGGTCGTCAAGGGCTGCTAAGGCTGCTCGGACACGGATGTCCTCCCAGGGAGCAAGAACCCCTCCGGGCTGGGCAGCCACGTGGCAGTGGGCACACATGTGCCCTCCCCCTACTCTGGCCCCGGCCCTGCTGCCTCTCCTGCATTGCCCTCCCATATCTGGTCCTGACCCCACCTCATGCCCAGACTTTGGGCTTCTTAGCCAAAGCAGTGTCTAGAGCTGCCCCTTCTCCACGTGAGTTTGGAGCAAGGGATGGAAAAGAGGGAAGGAGAGACCCTCCCCTCCCCAACTCTGCTGCCTGTGCCAGACCCTGGGCCTCGCCTCCACCTTGTTGGTCACCAGGTCCTGTCCACCTCCCCTCACTGCACGGCCACCAGCCGCTCACCGTCATCACACAGCTGGATTTCTCAACAGCCTCCTAACTGGTCCCCTGGAGTAGTCATGACGCCTCTGGTCCCTTCCTCACCCTCCGAGTGAGCTTTGTAAATGCGAACTTGACCATTCCACACACATAACCTAAGGTTTGAATCCTGGCTCTGTCTCTGACTCTGCATCTATCAAGAGGTGATAATACACCTACACCTCCTAGGACGGTGCTGTGCTATGAAGCTTAACTGATGAACACAGTCAAAGCACTTGGAGCCATGCCTGGCTAAGTGAGAGCGATGGTGCTATAGGTTAACGGTCAACCCCTTCATGTGATGGCACCCTGTGGCAGCTTCAGACTCGTTTCTGGATGTTCTTCTGAACCACTAACCAGACTGGGTCAGAGGACATTTCTTGAACACACTGTGGTCTCTGCTTCTGTATGCACAGTTCCCCCTGCCTGGGGCTCCCGATGGCTGGCTAGCTGCCCCAGTCCCTGAAGGCCTCTGCAGATTTGGGTTAGATGCCCCTTTTCTGTGCTCCCAGTGCTCCCCGTGCATACAGATCACTCTCTGATGGCTTTCTTGTAGTCCTGTCTCCTGGTGGAGGGGGCCCGGTCCTGTTTAGTGCCATCCCCACAGTGCCCACAGATGACAAAATGCCAAGTAAGTGGGTGAAGACAGCAGGAGGAGGAAGGAGGCCGTTTTAGATGGTGGCTCCCTGTGCTTTTGTGAGACTCTGACCTCTCCCACTAGGTCACAGAGCTCTCCTGTGCAAGGCCAGGCCCTGGACCCACATACCAGCTGTCCCTGGCCTCGGTCTCAGCCCCTGGGGGTCATCCGGGCAGCCCGGAGCACCCCCTCCCCCCCCAGCCTGGAGACCTGTAGTCGCCACTTTCCCAAAAGGAGCTCTCTGCCGGGGCTCCTCCCTCCAGACTCTCTGGCCCCGACTGGCAGCCAGCCCGTGGAGTTTCCATCACGCTACCTCTGATGTTCTCCAAAGTTAGGGACTGAAAGACCTGACCTGGGTCCTCCGCAACCAGGACAGGCTCACCCGGCTTTTTCTGCCTGGCCTTCCTGGTTGGGGGTCTGAGGCCTGGGAGGGGAGGAGCAGCCCACACCATGCTTCCCAGAGTGAGCACAACCCCCGCGTCCCGCCTGCAGGAGGCAGGGGGCTGACGCCACAGGGAGGTCTGCGCTGTGCTGCGGGGAGCTCGCCCTGAGGCACAAGGGCTCATGCACGTGTGCCAGGCCTTACGTGTCTGTCAGTCTGCCCATGTAGTCGTTTGGTGGTCAGAGCTCAGGACTCATGAGTGAGGCTCTGAAGCCACAAGCCCACACAGGAATGGCTACCTCTGCCTGGGAAAGGCCCAGACACTCCCACCTGACCACTGATGTAGCGAACGCAGAAGGCACCGGGGATGGAGTGGAAGATGGCGGCCAATCCCAGCTGCCTCCCAGCCCAGACGGACAAAGCCAAGGGGCCCTGGGGGTGGGGGGAGCTCCCCCCACCCCACCCCTGAGAAGCACAAGGCACAGAGAACCACACACCTGAAAAATGTGGTACTTCATGTCGCTGATCTCAATGGTTTTGCTGCCGTTGCCATCCTGTTCTGATTTATTGGTCATCAGCGTCTTGAACCTGGAGCGAAAGGGGAGAAACAAGGCGGGTCTTGAGCATGACTTTTACTCCATCATTCTGCAGCAATGGCGCCATCCATCACCTGGCCGGTCACTGGGAGACGGGACATTTTAAAAATTACTGCAGCGCTCCCAAAATGATTCTCGGCAAATGGCGTCTTACATCACCCTGGACTGACAGCCGGGCTGGGCCCCAGTGAGTCCCCACTGCCCCCCAGGGGTGACTGTGACGCCTGTGGCGGGAAAAGTGACTCTTCATTCCCAAACATTTATATTTTCTAGCGAAAGCAGGAACTCGAACAGGAATACAACCTCAGGGCGCCTCCTGGAGAGCTCTCGTCCCATCCCCTCTGTCCCTCTGTCCACACCGTCTTGTGCCCCTGTGGGGCAGCGGGACTCCATGGTTGCATGACCCATCTCCACAGGACAGCCTCCTCTGTCACCTGGTGTCTAACGAAGCCACTCCCACCCCTCTTCCCGATGCAGCCTACCTGTTAGAAGCCGTCACCAGCAGGACTTTATGCGCATAAAACAGCTTTCCTTCCACTAGGAAGGTCACATCTGACATCTCCTTGTTGTTCAGAAAGTGAGGATCTGTGCCCAAAAGGAGAGAAGGGAAATGACTAGGGCCCCCCCACTACCGGGTGCTGGCTAAGCATTCTGAGAGGTTGGGGGATACAAAGGGGAAGAACAGAGAAACTGAGGCCCAGGGCCTTGGCGCTAGGAATGGGGAACAAGAGACAAACAGGGAAAGATAAAGGAAGACAGACAAGGAGGGGGATCTGGAAAGGTCGGGTGGGCGGGGGCAGGCCTCACCTAGCCTGGCGGGCAGGGTCTTCCGGATCTCTGGAATGCTGGGGACCGGGCTGCTGCCATAGCAGTGCGTGAAGATGGCAGCCAGCTGCTGGGTGACGGAGTCGTTCTGTGGGGCAGGGGCAGAGAGAGGGCCTGTGAGCTCGCCCGCCCGCCATGGCCGTCTGTTTATAGCTACAGACACGTCAGGCTAATTTCAAAAGTCCAGGCCTGGATTAGAGCAGCCGCTGTCTTTTATTCCTCCTGGATCTGGCTTGGCAAGAGATGCCTGTTCCTCCATCACTGAATCCCCAAATTGC